TTGTAATTATGCAGTTATTATTTTTCATATTGTAAGCCTCCTTGAGCATAGCTTTGCTATGGAATACTGTGTACAAATGAAATGATGTATGCATTGTCAAGAGCTGCAGATTTCAGTAGGTTCCCCTGTTATTTCTTCATGTTTACGCCATGCATTGCAAAAGTGAGTTTTGCTCATTCCCTATTTATCAGGTCCTTTTTCTTTTCTCCTTTTTGGCTACATCTTTCCTTGAGAGAAGGTTTTGTTTCACCATCCTCATCCTCATGCAGCCGGCAGTGAATTCTGTTAACCCTTGCGCATGCAGGGTCCTCTTCTTCAGCTTTGTAGACGTGGAAAATATGGTTGTGAAATGGGAGCAGGCTGGACTTAAAAGGGAGGTTAAAGGCCTCTGAGCATGCAGACGCTCCGTTGTGAAAGTCACTTTGTCAAGGCGTAATTTATGGAGGTTCAGTTGCACAGCTATAATTCTGCAATTCTTTCAGGCTGCCTCCTTTTATACCTTCAGGCATGTGATTTGTCAGGACAGCCTTGTGGTCTGGGTGTGCAATCGGAGCTTCCCTCGGTAGACTGAAATGACCCAGAACAAACTCGGTAGTTAATCTTCTTTATTGCTGAAATCAATAAGCAGATCCATGCTAAGTGCTGACAGTTCCTATGTAGGGAGTGAAAAGGAGAAGTGGCTGTTCCTTGAACCTGTAATATGTTACAACCCAGAAATTTCCTTTATTGTCGTTGCTGTTATTTAATAAGGAGATCCCCCTCTGATGGTGTATATATTTAAAAGGCATCATTTTATTTCCTTTCACCTAACGGGCCATGAAGAAATAGATATAGTCCTGGCATATAGAATCTGTTTTTCAAACATGCACTCATTTTACACGTACACTTTAACATACATGGCTGCACATAGATACATCACACATATATGTACTCTTCTCTCTCAGAGTTTTCAAAGTGATGCACACATATAATTCCATTAACCATTACAATAACCTTGCAAGGGAAGGGAGTAGTACTTTACCATCTTGCAAATAAGGAGAGGCAGGGGAAAGATAACAGTTTGCATAAGGAGATGAAGCGAAATGGAAATTTGAGCTTTTCTGAAGAAAACCAACCCAGTTGTTGAGCTTCTTTTAGGGAAATCTGATTTATTTTTTTTACAAATATGCAATTTGACTTGCCTAAAATCCAAGACAAAACATCACTTTGCAGAAAACTAGGAGAGCATCATGTCAACTACCCCTGCTCCAAAGGGATTTGAAGCATTATTTCATTGTTATGTATGATTTATTATGATAAAATAGCATATCTCAGTCGGCTTCTCAATATATTTTTTTGCAACATTGTGTTGTTTGTTTCCTTACATGATTCTGAATGATAGTGTTGTCATAAATTCCATAATAAGTCTGCACAGCAGCCTCTTCTAATGACTCAGAAGCTTGGCACAGATCATCGTAACACACGAGGATCATTGGAAAGATAGGCAGATGAGAAGGTGGCACGCAAACCATAAGCAATCGCTGGCAGACATTCTTTGCATGCGACATTTGTGATGTGGTTGCCGTCATGAACCCAAAGCAGACAGACACCTCTTTATATGTACATCTATGGGCACATGCAGTTCCAGATGATGTCAATCATGCTAGGGAGGTCCCTGATTGGGATGTATTTTGCTACTTTGGCATGATTCATATTGTCTCAAATGGGGCATGTGTCACTTCACATGTGAGTAATTGTAAACGCACTGGCACAAATCAAGTTTCCAACAAGCTGTTGGCATCCATCTGTCTTGAGAGACAATGGAGTGCACCTCCAAGGGAAATGTCAAACTGAAGTGACCTCCCTGGGGCGCAAGCCTGGGCAATATGTATGGAGGCCCTGAGCTGCCCAGTCAACAAGACCTCACTGATGTGGTCCAAAGGGCAGCTGAGCAATATGTTTGGCACAAGCTTGGCTGTAGGAGTTGCTGGAAGAAGGCATACGAGGTGCCATCCAACAGCCTTAGAGACTACACTCTGGATTTGTGTAGGGTTTACCCCATGGGTGGGCAAACTAAGGCCAGAGGGCCGGATCCGGCCCAATCGCCTTCTAAATCCGACCCACGGACAGTCTGGGAATCAGCATGTTTTTACATGAGTAGAATGTGTCCTTTTATTTAAAAGGCATCTCTGGGTTATTTGTGGGGCATAGGAATTCATTATTTCCCCCAAAAAATATATATTCTGGCCCCCACAAGGTCTGAGGGACAGTGGACCGGCCCCCTGCCAAAAAAGTTTGCTGACCCCTGGTTTACCCCTTAGCCTTTTCTTCTCCCAAAGATATCCTGCAAGGCAGAAGAGGTTTAGGACCTGAGTTTTTCTTCTCCTAGATGCGCTACCTTCCCTGGTTGAGGAGCCTTATCTGCCCCTATTCAATTCAAGTTTCCAACAGCAAGCGTGCTATTTGGATAGCCTATGAATTGGGCCACAGAGTCAGCAATGGTTTCTCCCGACTTACTAGAGGACACCTCCATGCTGAAGATAATCATTATTCAAGTGTGCTGGGCCCTTCCAACAACCTCAGGGACACTCGGAAACACAAAGACCTGCAGAAAAATTGCTGGAACAACCCAAGGCCCATTAATCAGGCCAGAGGACTGTGTAATGCTTGCTGGGATATCCCCCCCTCCATTTATATTTATGAATTATTGTAATGTGCTGGCTTTCCTATGACAGAATTGCAGAATCTTTTACTGCGTTCTTTGTTTGTTCACCTCTGATTTTATCTGTTCTCCACTTCATTCATCCATGTTTACAACAGACAGCTGCTTTAAGCAGATGAACAAGGCCAGTCACTAACTGCCTATTAATCAGGCGGTTAAATGGATCATTTGTATGTCACCTTTTATTTTGTACAGCAGAAGAGCTGCGATTGGGAACATGAAATCAGAACAAAACAATGGGTGGTTCACTTAATTACTATAGACTACAAGCCCATGCAAACAATTAAATTACCCCTGAGTCAGTTTTCTTGTCCTGGAGTAACATGGGACTCAGCTACATTAGTAAAATAAAACCCAGCATTTTGAATGCATAATAAACATGTAACACCAGTTGGTGCCGGAGAACAACATAAAATTTCTTTGTGGTTTTCCATAGTGGTTTTCCCCCCCTTTTGTTATAACATTTTAATTTCTAACTTATTTATAGCGTTTTTCCCCCTGTGTGTGGATCCATCCTTAGTCAACAGTATCGTCCTATCAAATGATAAGGAGAATTATTCTAACACAAATCAACTACCAATGTGCTGTAAAATGTGTAGTATAATGGGTTCCGAATTATCATCATCATCATTATTTATTAAATTTATATACCGCCCTTCATCTGAAGATCTGAAAATGGTTCACAAGATTAAAAAAAAAACAGGATAGAAGCACAAAATGAATAGTTGAAACAAAACAGTAACCTCCCTCTCCCAACCACATTTAAAAGGCCATAAAATATAAATTAGCCAAAGGCCTGGCTGAAGAGGAATGTTGTTGCCTGGCACCTAAACATGTATAGTGAAGGTGCCAGGTGAACCTTCCTGGGAAGAGCATTCCACAAATGGGGAGCCACTGCAGAAAAGGCCCATTCTTGTGCTGCCACCCTCTTGTGGATGAGCCACATTAAGAAGGGCCTCAGATAATTATCGCAGTTTATTGGAAGAGAAGCGGTCCTTGAAATATTGTGGCCTGAATGGGTTCTAAGAGTGACATACTACACTCCTAGCTCAAGGAACATCACATGACCATCAGTACCCTTTTAGTTAGCATGCTGTATTTAAAAAATCAAGAAGGGACAATAAGGGGAATCCCATAGCTGTGATATACAGTACATGCTTTTAGCCCTCAGCATCTAGTAGCAAGCCTGAGAAGGACCTCTACTAGTAGGATCAATGAGGCCCTCTAATCAAAGTACACTATGCTGGACTCACTGTAAGGCAACTTTATATGTTTATATTCGCGTGTGTGGGACTGTTTCAAGCATATCCCAGACTGAACACAACTCACATTTAGACAGCCTTCAAGTGATGTTGTAAACAGTTTAGTCACTGAGCTCTATCTGAAAAGCTCCAGTACCTATACTAAGAAAACCATCTACTCAGTAAAACGTTTCTGCCTTCTCTGATAGGGGCAGTGAAGTAAGTTGGGGAACACTAAACTGTCCTTGGAAATATTCTTCTTAAAAATAATTAAGGAAGATAATAGTTCTGAATACGTTCAGCCTTGGGTCTAAATTTACCAATGTAACAAAATAAATGAATGTTCTAGAATGTATGAATAGTTCAAAAGGCAGGCATGGAAATTCAGCCTTTGACAATAATGTGATGCTTGGTTATTTTCCTGAATAGGAAATGTGGACTTGTGTTGTGTACAAAGACTCACAAGACCAATGGCTTTTAAACCCATGAAAATAGCTGTCTCATGACAGAGGCAGTGATGAGAGACTCATTGTCAGATTTTGGCTTATGGAACCTGTTAAGTTCCCATAAAGTTGTTTATAGCATTCTGTTTACTTCATTTGAGGGAGTAATCAGCAAGGAGGCTATGCTAGATTATAGCTTTTGCCTTTGTTGGAAAATGATTAAAGTTATTCTGCAAAACATCTTTCTAAACTCTTCGTAACTCAGGCACTTATTGTTGCTTTTCCATACTTCGCTCCCTGCTATATGCGCTTCTGTTACTTACATTGAAACGATAATTTATTTCTTCTTCTTTTTACAGAAAATATGCAAGAGGTAAAACCATTTCATCCTGCAGAGAATTTCATGGAAGTCATAATGTTTCCTCTGGCCCTCTTTGCATTACACTGTGGAATCTGTTGCTAAAGTACTATGACATGTCTCTAGCAATCAGAAAAAGAAGCTGGGAAGAACACGTGACCCAATGGATGGGCTTGCCGTTTGGGTCTATTGATTCTAATATATTATGCAGGCATGGCCTAGTAGCTGACAACTTGCAAGCAGGTATGGAAAATGACAGACTTCGGAGCGAAAGCCAGAAAGAAAGAAGTGCTTCCTTGCCGGACTGCTGTCATGGTGGAGAACTGGGAGGTTTCCCCACAAAGCTGCTTGGTAATGTTTCCAGAGAGGTAGATGAAAATGACAATCATCAAGAAGAAGAAGAATTTCCCTCCCTTGAGGCTAGCACAGAAACATTGGTGAATGTTTCCATTGGTGGCGATAATGATGCCGAGGACAATGACGTAGAGCTCTCTTTGGAGAAAGTCAACCACCAGCTTGGTGACCCTGAAGAAAAATGGTCAGCTGAAAGGAACCAGTCAGAAGGAGGAGCAGGACTCTTCATGAAGATGGACCCAGGTGTGGAAGCAAAGGAAGACTCCAGTCATGCCTTGGATTCTGTTGGGAAACTTCATAATGAGACAGATCCCAAAGCACTGAAGGAATATATTTGTGATAGCAGAGAAGAGAGACTAGAACTTTGTTACAGCAGCTCCAATGAAAATGAAGAGACCCCAGAAGAAAACTTCTCTGAGCCTCCAGATGCAGGAGAAACAATGCCTGAGAAGAAGATGGCCTGTGATATTGTAGCTGCACAGAGGCATGAAAAATCGAATGCTCCTAAAGATGGGAATGAAAAAACAGTCTGTGGTCAATTATTTGATGAATTTTCTCCTGGTCCGTGTAGTGACCTAAATGTAGTTGTTGCAGACTCCAGAAATGTTCTTGAGCCATCACCTGGTTCTTGTTTCCTATCGGAGGAAAATGTTCTGGATGAAAATGGCTTTGCGTGTGCTCAAGACAAATGCATCAAAAGCACATCCCTGGTGGAACGTATAAGTGATTTAAAGAACAACACAACCACACACGAGCCTACGGACGGTCAAGTCATTTTGCGCAAAAGAAAGGTAGGACGTGTTAAAAAATAAAAAGGTGTTGCTCGTTGCTGTTGTTTTCAGATTTCCTGGGAAATATGTGTTCCTAGGCGGAAGCTGACAGTTGAAATAGCTTGGGGAAGGAATGCGTGTAATCCAGTGTCAAATTAAGACTTAGTCAATGAGACCTCAGTAAACTGAAAGCAGCGGTGTGAAACCTCGAGCCCACGGGGCTAATTAGGCCTGCTAGGCCTCAGAGGTTGGCCCACCAAGGTATGTTTGGTAAGCCATGCTGACCTTTCCCCCTGCATGCTGACAGAAAATGGAGGCAGTTCGAAAAGCATTGAATTTGGCCTGTAAAGGAAGACTCGGGAGCGCACTTAGGGTGCAAATCTGCTTCTTCCTTCAAGCCATAGCTTGAATTCAAGTGGTTCAAGCTGGGCAAAAGAATAATCGGTGGCTCAAGAGTACACTCCAAATTCTTCCTTCGCAGCCACAGAGTGAATGCATATCATATGACGACAGGTGGTTGACAAGTGAGTGACCCCACCCACCTGTCAAAGTGGCCCATGTAGGGTTGGACACCTCTGGATCCCCCTTGCCACAGTCTAGCTTAAAGGCTTCAGTTGGCATATTAGAAGGAATTCAAAGTTCACAGTCAGTCTACGTTAGCTTGGGGCTGGAGAGGGATCCAGTTAACTGCTTCATCTGGCCCTAAGTTCAACCTGAGATCAGCATAGCACTTAGTAGAGTCAAAATAATTCCAGTTAGTGTGATTGGCAAAATGCCTCCGGAGGGCTTCACGCTTTTCTAAGTTATCACAGTTTTACCTACGTGGAAAATGGAGGTGTATTTTGGAAGACCCTGCTCAGGAACAACCAGTACAAATCTGAAGGAAAGTGGACATCCAAGAGAAATGGGTGATAAAAGATTCAGGGTGGACAAGAAATTGCATTTTTTCACACAGTGCACAGCTGGACAAGGGGTGGACAAGAAATTGCATTTTTTTCACACAGTGCACAACTTGTGGTGATGGCCACTGTGGCGATCACACAGGGTCCCCGGACGTTTAATGGTCTATTGATCCCTGTGCCACCACTGTGCTCGCTTCCCCGTTGCCACTAACCCGTTACTCTCAGGTAAAATACTGAGTCCAGACAGTTGTTAAAAGTGAACCAAATAAACAAGTTTATTTTATAAACATTAACAAGTTTATGGTTTCTCAGATAATATTCTTGTCAGTTTCTCAACTTTAGTTTCTTTACTGGCCTATACCTTCCTAATACCTTCTGACTGATTATATCAACTGTTTGACTGACTCCTCTTAACAAATTCTCTCCCTCTCTCACACCAGACTAGCCCAACCCACAGACTTCTCTTCTCCATTTCTTCTAACTCCAGATTGTCTTCTCAACCACCCTAACTCTAACTCCTAACTCCCCCCAAAACCCTCTGTGCTTAAACCTTATACACGGTTAACTCTGCCCCCTTGGTTCCCATTGGTTAGTAATTTTACAATAAGTTAACCCTTTCCTTATGAACCCAGTATGATGTCACACCCCTAGGAGGGCAAACGCCACAGCCACCAACCTAAGTAGCTTTAAAATAGTAAGAGACAAATGTTGGGAGGATAAGGCCATCTGAGAGGGCTGTTGGGCCCAAGTCCTTCTTGGGGCTTCCCATAGGTGTCAGAGGCTGTGGGAAACAGGATGCTTGACTTAAATAGGCCTTTGGTATGAGCCTTACGTCCTTAGGAAAAGGCTTTTAATCAAATTAATGAAATTTCTCTGGGATGTTTTGACACTTCTTGATACGAATGTTCAGTAAGTGACTTTTGTCTAGAGACAGACTGTGCATTCCCACATTGCTGGCTCTGGCTGGGTGTCTCTAGGGTCAGGCATCAACCGGGTCACTCCCCTCTGCTCTTCTCATATCCACTTGTACTAATTGGTCCGAAAAAGGGCAAATTTATGTCAGTATTGATTCAACAGAGCAACCCCAGGATTAGCCTCCTTTTCAACGCACCTGAGACTCCTACGGTATGAGGAAATGACTTATGTGAGGTGCTAGTTGGGGTGCACATAAGACAGTTATGGTCACATTTGAAAGCAATTTCTGGACAGCACAAATAGCCCCCCCCAGCCCGCCGCCCACAATTCTGACAAAGGAACGGCAAGCGATTTTAAATCCCTTGTGACAAGAGTCCTCCCCAGTCCCCAAATCCTTATTCATGAGGTAGGATTAATTTTGCTTGCAGCTGGACGGTAGGATTAAACTGTAAGTGTAGCTTTTTCTCTGGCTATGTTGTTAGCTCTGTCAAAGTTAGACAGTGCCTGTGGCGAAAATCTTCAAAGCCTCCATATTTGACAGCAGCGGCTAAAGCGGAATGCTGACTCTCCCATTTTCCCTGTTGCTAGGAAGCATATGCAGAAGAGCAGTACCAGGCCTCTGTGTCTGCTGCTTTCTATAAATTGTAGGTGAGGTCACCAAGCTTCTCGGTGATTCAGTCCCAGGCAGGCCAGCCACTGGAAGAAGAATCTGTACACCTTTCCAAACTGCTGCTTGCTGCCTCAGTAAGTTGCCCTGCTTAGACATCCAGAATGGTTAGGCTGGCCTTCACTATTTCTGGAAGACATTAAGATTTTGTTATGGCTGGAATCCATTGATCCTTTGATAGAAGATTCTAGAATCCCTCCAGCTCTTGTAAGACTATAAACTCTCATCCATGAACGTGGGCCATGATGGCTGGGGCTGATAGGAGTTCCGAGTCCAACAGCACACCTGGGTTTCTCTTCGCTGCTATGAACAGGACAAGCACCTTCATAGATAAAATCATATGCTCCCAATCTTATACATATTTACTCAGAAGTAAGTCCAACTGAGTCCATTGGGACTTCCTCCTAGTCAAGTGAATGGAAGGTTCAATTGTATGCATACATACCTGGGAGTAAGCCCCATTAAGCATAGTGAGACCTACTTTTGAATGAATATATAAAAATAAAGTACAGTTTATTGTGGGACATGGGTGGCTGTGGGTTAAACCACAGAGCCTAGGGCTTGCCGATCAGAAGGTCGGTGGTTCGAATCCCCGCGATGGGGTGAGCTCCCATTCCTCGGTCCCTGTTCCTGCCAACCTAGCAGTTTGAAAGCATGAAGTGCAAGTAGATAAATAGGTACCGCTCCGGCAGGAAGGTAAACAGCGTTTCCGTGCGCTGCTCTGGTTCGCCAGAAGCGGCTTAGTCATGCTGGCCACATGACCCAGAAGCTGTATGCCGGCTCCCTTGGCCAGTAAAGCGAGATGAGCGCCGCAACCCCAGAGTCGGCCACGACTGGACCTAATGGTCAGGGGTCCCTTTACCTTATATATATATAGGTTTGTAGTGCTCATCACATCACCAGTGGAGGGACATTTGTGACATATCCCCTATCTGCACTGTACATTTAAAGTGGTATTGATCTACGCTAAACAGTCACAACTTCCCCCAAAGAATCTTGGGAACTGTAGGTAAATTTTTAAAATGCCACTGTTTCCAGAGTTTCCTATGAAGAGGAGAGAGGGAATCACTCTGAGAACTGTAGTCAGAGATGAGAATAGAAGTCTCCTAACAATTTCCAGCACACTACAGTTCCCAAGATTCTTCGGGAGAAGCCATGGGTGTTAAAAGTGGTATGGTACCACTTTATACAAATAGTGCAAGTGGGGCCTTAGCTAATGAAGCTTATTCCAAAAGCATAAATGACAAACTTATCAACAGAAAAAAAGCAGTGGAAAACTCACAATTTTGTTGCACTAACTTGTTTAATTAGAATTTATGCATTGTGGTGTTCTTCGGTTTAATTTATTTAGATTACTGTGTAATTTGTACTTGGAATTTACGCAAACACCATCATAAATATTATCTCTGTCCCTTAGGAAGCTATGGAATGCTATCCCACAGACTTCAGCCATGTTTGGATAGACACATGATGGATTCCAAACAATCCAAAAAGAATTTAAAACAAGTGCTGAACAAAACAGAGTCACTAATGGGATGATTCGAGGCCATGGCAGTGCAACCTTTTATGCAAATTTAAATTTTGACACATTTTTGCGACGGCAGGCAGCTATAAATTTTAGAAGCTGCCAATTTTGTCTAGACTGCAAACCCGAGAACCATACTGCAACTGTTATGCATCAAGTCAGGAAACACTTGGGTTTCAGCTGCCTAAAATGGTAATAAATGCAGTTTTATATATGACTTTATAACCGCTTGCCAGCATCTCCTTGACTAGCATCATGGTGCTAAAGTAATTGATGTACAGTAGATTCCTCTTTAACTAAATCATCAAAATCTTTTATTTCCCCAGAAAATAAACTATAAACTATTTTGATCTGAACTTAATCAAAAAGTCCCTGTTCTAGAAGTAGATACATTAAATCCAGAGAGTTCTTCATTTAGGAACAAAGTGATATTACTAATCAAGAGTTCTCAGTAATTTTGGGAAATGAGGCACAGACACGGATGGGGTTCTTCTCCAATTGTGCTCTAATATTGTTTTTCTCTCCCCCCCTTAACTCCCTGTCTTTTCCAATCTTACTTTCGTCAAACCTCTAATTCTCAAGCCACTTCCTACTCTATCCACATTCTTCGGCTGCCCTGCCAGCAATCCCAGTTGCCCTTACTCGTTTATTTTCCAGTTCCTCTTCCCATTTAGATTCCTAACCCTTGTTGTCACTGCTTATCACCACATCACACATCCTTCTTTGCCTCTAGGGCTGTGTGAAGATTTCCATAGCCAAACTGGTCTTCACGTATCTTGCAAGAGTTATCATCACTTCTTGGGATGCTGCTGTGTCCCACTAAGTAACTAGAATGCTTGTGAACATTCCTTGGGACTCATAGAAGCCCATTGACAAAGAGGAGTATGACAGCAAGGAGAGAGGTGGCAAACAACTATTGCCGTTTAGCTTCTTATATCCAACCTTCAATACCGCAGAATTTTCTTTTGCATCTCGAGGTCCCCAAGCCACCCCAAACAAACTCACACTTCACACATCAATTTTTGTTTAAGGTTTTTAGCATGACTTTGGCCACAACTTTATTTAAATACACACATGTGAGTGGTTGTTTAGGCATTGGTTATGACTATCTGTCCTTGCCCCAGGGACAGAACTGACTTCCGGATTCCAGCGAAAGCCAGTCAGGGAAAACAATATTGGGGAGAAATGAAGATGGGCAGCAGACCCTCACTTCTCACCCGGATGCTCCCGGGGGCTTGCATGGCCCAAGCCCGATGCCAGGCACTTGGATGAAAAGGGGTGGCAAGCCCCTGGATTCCTTTAACGGAATTCCCTTGCACCACCACCATTGGAGGGGTAGGCACTTACCCCACCACCAACCAATTTTAATCAATGCCTAACCGCAAACCTTACAAGTTGTGACGATTTGCTATGCAGTAGGCAAAAACCAAATGGCACCAGCCAATCAGCCAAATGGACAAAATTCCTACCAGGCCCCTGCCCCAACAGCAGACGACCCCATGACAGGCATAGCAAGGTCAATGCAAAAAAACACCAAAAAACAATTCAGGGAAGGTGGGCGGGTGATCCGGTTAACGCAGCCCAAGAGGACGCTCAAAGCTGCAAGACCAGTATTTAAAACCTTTGTCTCGACCCACAAATTGGCAACATACGAATCTCCCCAGAGACTCAGTTACCCAATCACTGCCTGTGGCCATCCAAACGCATCTGCCCCGCAACAGTGGGGTGGCCTGCTAGCTCCCACCGCAACACGTGCTCTCTGTTAGGGAGAACACGTTTTGTGCATGTGTCCACATACGCAACACTGATGCTGATGACCATAGCTTCCAGTTTTCAAGCTGTGTGTGTATATCGCCAATGCATTAAGATTCTCTGCAGGTAAGAATCCTAGCTCAGGATCACACCTTCTAATGCTGAACTCAGACCCAGCATGATGACATTGTGCAACCCCTGAGCAATAAGGCTGAGGTACCTGCATATTAGGGGCGTGGGTGGCACTGTGGGTTAAACCACAGAGCCTAGGGCTTGCCGATCAGAAGGTCAGCTGTTCGAATCCCCGTGACGGGGTGAGCTCCCATTGCTCGGTCCCAGCTCCTGCCAACCTAGCAGTTTGAAAGCACACAGTGCAAGTAGATAAATAGGTACCGCTCCGGCAGGAAGGTAAACGGCATTTCTGTGTGCTGCTCTGGTTCCCCAGAAGCGGCTTAGTCATGCTGGCCACATGACCTGGAAGCTGTACGCCAGCTCCCTCGGCCAGTAAAGTGAGATGAGCGCCGCAACCCCATAGTCGTCCACGACTGGACCTAATGGTCAGGGGTCCCTTTACCTTTTTACCTGCATACTGGGGTGAATCCCACAGATTGCAGAAGTGTTTTGTTTTTTTTTAACGTAGGGGGGAACCCCCAGCCAAGAAAACCCAGAAAGTGGGCAGGTTGTACATGTGTGCAGCCATCCAAAGAAAAGGGAGTAAAGGACCATATAATGAAAGTGAATCTTGAGCAACTTCTTTGCCCCTAAGGGGTTATATATCTACCTGTCTACCTACCTATCTATAGATTGCCCTTGGCCATATGGACAACTTTATTGAAGATCCATTTAACCCACAAAATGTTCTTCAACAAAAAGTAATGTGAGTAATGCCCCCAAGCCTGTACATTTATCTCTTCAGATCCAGAAGTAAATTCCTGGCCAAAAAAAAAAGATCCCATGGTTTCATTGTCCTTGTTTGGGGGGGGGGTGCCTTCAAAAAGACACTGAAAAGACTTCTTTTCATTTTCTTTTTAACGTTGTTAGTGCTTGGAATTTCAGAAAGGGAAAAGCAACACTAGGGAAAGTGTATCCCTCAACAGCGAGGTGTTCCAGGACTGCCTTCTCCTCATCGTGGCTTGTTTATTTCTAGAGCACTCATTCATACCTGCACACTGATGCTTTGTAATTTACTGCCAGAGTAGAGAAAGAGATGAGCAAGAAGAAAGACTAAGGAAATATACAAGCGGAAATAATGTTTGGCCTCGTATGATTTGTTGGGTCATCGCTGGACTGGGCTTTGTACCTTGATACCATGTTCCTTTTTCATGTTCCATTCCCATCTGGCTCAGTTCCCTGGACATGACAACTCAAAAGATAATCTGGATGATAGATCTGGAAGCAAGGGCAGCATTTGGACAGAGACAGAGAAGCCTGTGATAGAGGAGGCTAAATGCTTGCTAATTTATACAGTATATATTTAAATCTGAGTCCATACCTGGCGCTTTCTATTCTTATTTTGCTTCCTTAATCCTTTCCAGTTTCTGTGAATGTATTCATCATTCTCCAATTCTTAGGTCATTCTGTACTGCCACTTAACAGGTGCCAAAGGCAGGACCAGCCCAACTGCTGGGCAAAATGAGGCAACTGCCTCAGGTAGAATATGTTGCATGGCAGCAGGGGCAGCCTTCTGGTTGAGCCTCCTAAGACCCCACCCCTTGTCCTGAGGCATTCTCTCTGCTGGAGGATAGGATCCTGCTCCCCTCCAAACTAGACTGATGCTTCAGGTATAGTAGAGGATGATATCCTGTCACCATTGTTTCTTTCAAAGATTTTCTTGTGTAACAAAACAAAGAAAGAAACAGAGAAAAGTCTCCACTTTCAATTCACAAAGTCTTTTTCACAGTTCCTTTATGTTCAGTATGAGTCACTATTATCATAGACATTGTGAGGTTGGAGGGAAAGGGGAGAAAGAGAAGAAGGAGATGGGGGAATAATGATCTTTCATTGTATTGCTTAGTGTTTGTGCAGGGTTTTTATTTCTTCTTCTTTTTTGTTCAATAAGGAAAGATACAATTACACTTTATATACTTTACAAAATCAAAACCATATTCACCAAAAGAAAATTAGAATATATACCTATGTGACTTCCCTCCACCACAACTCAACATCCTTTATACTATAATGTCTTTTTTACATTGTGTCTTTATATAAATCAATTTATATCCATTGATAATTTTACTCTAAAAATGAATCGTGTTTGTGCAGGGTTTTTGTGTCAGCTTCACATGGGTAGGTCTCTCTCTCTCTCTCTCTCTCTCTCTCTCTCTCTCTCACACACACACACACACACACACACAGCATTGTTGAAGTAAGATTAAACTGCCAGCCAAGGCAGCTTTTGTATGTCGAATGAGGAGGGGCCGCCATCTTGTCTGTCTTCTCAGGCAGCAAATTGTCTTGGACCCAATGCTTCCATACCTGGGTTGCGACTTTGAGCTCAAGGTGCATATCTGTCTAACTATTTGCTGCCACCTGTACATAAGCTGGCATTCCAGCTTTTTGAGGTGTGAACTTCCTCCTACTTCCTATATTAGGCATTGTAATGCTCTGCCCAGTTCTTAAAAAGGACTTTTGTGTGTTAAATCCGCTTATTTTCCCTTTGTTAACTTTCTGTGCTAAAACTGGAACTCATCCACCCCTGTCTTGGCCAACATTTGTGAAGTCTGCCCTTCTTTCCATTCTTACTGCCAACAGTCCCCCCCCCTTCTCTCTCTCTTTCTTTCTCCCCTCACACCTCCATAGAAGTAGTACAGTGTTTGCCAACCTGAAGCTCTCCAGATATTTTGGACTACAACTCCTGTTGGTGCCAGCCAGCACAGCCAATGATTGGGGGGGATGATGGGAGTGGTAGTACAACAATTTCTGGAGGTTCTCCAACCCTGGGTTATGCAGTCAAGTCAATAACATCTCCTTACCTGCTTTCTCTGGTGCCTTAGATATATGTAGGATAGGATATAAATATCCCTGGCTAACTTGCTTGATACACGCTGAACAACAACAACAACAACAACAATAATAATAATAATAATAATTTTATTTTTTATACCCCACCCATCTGGCTGTGTTTCCTAGACACTCTGAGCAGCTTACAGCACACAAAAGATTGTAAAACATTAGATATTAAAAATGTCCCAATACAGGGTTGCCTTCAGATGTCTTCTAAAACTCAGATAGTTGTTTATTTCCTTGACATCTGATGGGAGGGCATTCCACAGGGCGGAATGTTAGTGTTAGTTACCATATTTTTTGCTCTATAAGACTCACTTTTTCCCTCCTAAAAAGTAAGGGGAAATGTGTGTGCGTCTTATGGAGCGAATGCAAGCTGCGCAGCTATCCCAGAAGCCAGAACAGCAAGAGGGATTGCTGCTTTCACTGCGCAGCGATCCCTCTTGCTGTTCTGGCTTCTGAGATTCAGAATATTTTTTTTCTTGTTTTCCTCCTCCAAAAACTAGGTGTGTCTTGTGGTCTGGTTTGTCTTATAGAGCGAAAAATACGGTACCTTTTTGTAATGGCATTGCTTTAAAGAATCATACAAATACTATCAAAAGCAGTGTTAGAAACTGAGATATGGAAGCCATGAGCTAAATGGCACCTTAAACCTAGGTTATGGGCACCCAAATGGAGTATCTAGGCGTGCTTTTTTATAACAGGAATACACAACTGAAAATGAATGAACTGCAGCTAAAATCTTATGTTAATTTTTGACATGGTCTGTGAAGACTGCAAAAAAACAAAGCCATACTTCCCCTGCCCGCCCCCCTAATATTCTTATGAGGGTCTCTTCTCCAGTCTTCAGAGATTGGCTGGAAGTTGGGAAGGCAGAAAAAGGTCCTCCTTTTCTTCCAGCAATGGCAGTTTTAATCTGAAATCTTTGGCTCAGTACCAGACCCACCCAGAGCTCAGAAACCACTTATGCTAACGAACTTCCCTGTCGCAAAATGCCTCTGGAACAATGGGAGTTTTGAACGCTGATCAAAACAGTTTAGTAATGTAAGTCCTTTCATTGCACAATATAAGAAGGAAGGGAAATTAATTTAGCTACCTCTGTTTTGTAGCCTGCCTTAACTGTTAACATATAACAGCAATTTAAGTCTGAAGGAGAGCAAAGATCACCTGGTCCTACCAAAGCTATGATAGGAAGAGTGTGAAAAATTATTAAAGTGGTCAAGAAAATTAGAAAGCTCTCACTAGTATAAAAAATTGATCGGGGGGGGGGCGGCGAGAGCCAATGGAGTACAGTAAGGAAATGCTGATCTTAAGTAGGCACACCATCTACAGTGTTCCTTCTCCAAAATAAAGATGTATGTTAGAAAACGAGGAATTTACATGTTTTGAAGTAAAGAGTTGGCTGAGATATTGCTTGTAAGACTGCATTTGTATGCAGTTATATAATGTGACATCATAGCTCTGTGACTGCACATATTTATCCATAGCAGGCATACCTGGGAACTGTAGTTCACTTCTTACAAAGTTACAATTCCAATGCTGTTAACAAAAGTCAGTTATTGTCAGGCTTTAGGTAAACGGCTTCCTCCCTCCCTTTGGCCGTGGATAAACAGAACAAAGCAAAAAATAATCTCTTACCATTTAAAGAGATTTTCAGGATCACTGTGAAAGAACAAAGAGTCCATTCTCGAAGTAAAGGTGCTCCCAGTTAAGGTTTACACCCCGAGTCATTTCTTCATCTTGCAACTTGATCTCACAACCGCTTTGCTTTCTGTACTGTACTGCCACCTTATCTGCTTGTTATGACCTTGGGCTGGGCAGATGTAGGCTGTCCAGCGAGAGAGAGTCTGTTAACTCTCTCTCTCTCCCAGTTCTTTTTCTCCTAGCTGTTCACCACCCAGTTCTTCCCAACTTTTGTCTTCTGAACTATGTCCCTCTGCAAACCACTGCTCCAAATCTATACTGTCCCACTGCTCCTGGGCAGCTTCAGGATCCTGACCAGGAGCAGGGGTGGGGGGAGGTTCCCACCATAACTCCTTTGTGCAGCCTTCCTCAGCACAGTCTCTGGCAGTTATAGGATTCTCTGAAGGAAGGAGGGTGCATTCAATACATGGTGTGGGTGAAACCAGTGGGGATGTATTTGTTCGCCATATGTTTTCATCCCATGTGCTAATCCGATGGACAGTTTATATTTCCTGATCTATTGTAGTACGCAATCTGCAAAGCTACATGTTTCCTGTCCCACCAAGTTATAATGTTGGAATTTAACGTTGCTGCTGACGTCTTGCCTACTGATGGCTTCTCACATATGTGAGAATATACAGTGTTAACAACACTGTTGTATCTATCTAACATAATTTCCAGTACTGCTGATATTATCTCCATGTGTTCTTCAGTTGTTTTCACTCACAAATAAATGAGCCTTCCAATTGCCCATCAGCTAGCCCAGTTATTGTCAGTACGGGACATGAATGATGAAAGGACATGAATGATGGCTGGGGGGTTTCCTCCTCACAGTGAGATGGTGAGACTTCCTGAGCTGTGCTTATCAGAATTATTATTTTTAAGCATTTTATAATGCTGAAGCTGAACGGAGTAACCTGTCTTGTAGCTGTGTGTGATTGTGATGCTGAGAAGGGAAGACATGGAAAGTTTACTCCAACTGCAACTTAATTGTTGTGAGCTGCAGTGTCATGTACCATGGCAAACCTTGCTGTGTTTTTCCTAAAGATGTTTTTCAAGGGTTGAATTGTCATCCATGAACTGCTGACCTAAGTCTCAGACATGCATCTGACCGTGAGTAACTGACTGACATACTGTCTAGTCCTCAAGCGTTCAGCAGCCACAGTTACAGATATGTTCAACCTTGGGGCTGGGTGTATGAAGAAGACTGGCAGTATCGGTTCTTAGTTTTTCATTCCTAAAGTATAAGGAAAAATAATCTATGCTGAGAACAATGCGATAGTTTGTGTGGCTGGAATAAAACCAAGATTCCAAAGGTGAAAGGACAACTGGATATAGCTCACTCAACCATTTCCTAGTAAAGTTAAAAATACGTTTTGCTGGCGGGAAAATGGCATTTGTCATTTGAGAAAATTGCTTTATTTCAGGAGCAGTCACATGTAGCAGAAATTTCTTTGCCATGTGTGTAGGTTTTACAGTGTTTCCATCGTAATAGCACTGCTGAAATAGAGATTTTCAAGGATACACTTTCCAGAAGCTACCACTTCAGAACTAATAATTTAAAGACTTTCGCATTCTCTTGTGATCTCCAAGTAGGAAACACCAGCAGCTTTTCGTCTGTCAGGAAGTAGCCTACACTGATGTCATTGCCATGTTGCCAGAGCAAAGCCCTCTGGGAACCTGATTGAGGGCTCTCAGGAGTAATATCTGAAAGGAAATGTGTATCTTTTCCATTCATCACTACAGTGTTTGCTTGAAGTCACTACAAAAGCAGCCTTCAGAGAAATTACTTTGCTCAATATTTGAAGGCCAATAGGCTTTGTGAAGTTTTACAGCTGTGTGTCTTGCCTGTTTCTTTGGGGGGGGGGGAGAGAAACAAACTTTAAAAGAAAACCATGTGGGTGGAAGGTTTTGCTTCTGCTTTTTAACAGAACACTGAGGGGGCAATCACAAAGGTACCATCAACCGACAATAATAGATTTTCACCATGCAATTGTCACCTAACCAGGAAGAAGATGAACCCATGTGATTAGCCCTGAGCATATGGCGGCAGACCTCGAAACTGCACATCCGTGCGATGGGATGAAGTATGGAAAAGCAGCTCCTTATGTTGCTGACGTAATGTCTAAAGAGCATCTTAGTCACTGTGAAAATGAAACAGAAAGATGCCCTGAGCCATTCAAACTGCCTGTATTAGCATAAGCCTCTTACCAAATGAAGTTTGATGAAAACAAAAGGAAATGATGCAATGCTGCTGGGGACTCTTAAGGCCCCACCCCAGCTGAGGTGAGGAGAAATTAACACTGTGACGGCACCAGTGGTTGCAGGTGCTTGTAATGAAATGCTGATGGCATTGCTCAATTGTCCACCCAACGAACAAGTGTGTTTGCACCAATGCAGACAGATCCTAATATCCCATCATAATGCAATGGGTATATAAGGGAGTAAATGATTTAAAAGAGTAAAGGGTAACTTAGGACTCAGCTACACTGGCAAAGAAAAAGCACTTTGTATGCGTTATATATGCATTATAACACTGTGGCACCAGATGGCGCTGTGGAGTTCCACTTTTGCCAACCCGATTTCTCATACAAAGTTTATAACGCATTTAACTGAAACGCTTCTTTGATGTGTCTAGATCCAACCTTAGTGTAGTTTTTTATCCCCCAGATCACTTTAGCTTATCTCTTTATTTTGCCCTTTGCACCCAATCCTGCTTGCTCGTCATAATAACTGCAAAATAAACAAACTCTTAGTTCTTACTCCAGGCAAACGTGCTTCTTTATTGGTAGCTGTGTATAGAACACAACTGAAACCGAAAAGCAGAGCAAATAAAAGTCCCCTGGGTGGACTCTAACTCAATCCCATAATACAAAGTTCTAATATTTAACACTGCAAGGTGATGGTACTTATACAGTGTGCTTTTTTCGAGATCGCTTAAGGCTCCTGAAAATTTCATCCTTGGTCAGGGAAAGTCTTGAGATAATGGAGGGGGGGGCCCTCTGTCAGATGAGTCCTTTATTGTGCATGCACCCTGCCGTATTCACTGAATTTTTCAGACTGTTAGAAAACATTCTTTAAGCAGAGGCTGTCATTGTCTGTCACATCACAAATTATTTTATCTCTTTAAATCCTAGGGGAGGCGAAGCACAGCTTGAGGGGTGTATGCACCAATTTGCACCACCTTGGCCACAGGACTACCTATGTTAATTAATATATATTCACACACACATAATAGAACTAAAGACTAATTTAAATAAGGATGCAGTGGTCACTGCATTATTTCACAATTATAAAATATCATGGCTTTGCCCGAAGAATGATGGGACCTTTAGCTCTGTGAAGATCTACCTACTCAGACATGAAGGTCACTGAGTGACCTTGGACCTGTCACTGTCTAGGACCTTGTTGTGAGGATAAAATGGGGAGGGGAGAACCATAACACCAAATTTCAGTTCCTTGGAGGAGAAAGTGGTATACAAATGTAATAAATAAATAGAATTCTTTATTTTTAAACTGGTTTTGGACTGGGCAGCCCTTCAAACAGAGAACATCGTCAAATGGAGGGCTGTAAAGCAGCCCAAAGATGGGATCACAGTAATACAGAAGGGTGTGACCACCCTTCTGTATTACTGTGATCCCATCTTTGACTGGTTCCTATTAATCCGTGACATTTCTGAAATTTGCCTTTCGTACCATGATCGAAGCATTAAATGTCGCCATCTTTCCACACATGCTCCGAGTCCTGGATGCATGTGGATGGCATGGCGAACCACATTTAAATCATTTTTGACAACCTGGATTTTCGTTGTTTTGAAACTGTATCACTTTGCCTGGCCCAGGAGGGATGTGGGCTTAATAGCCGTTCATTTGTTCCAGGTCCAGCAGGTGTTGCAGGAGGTTGTGACATGTGTGGATTACTTGGCGCACTGTGAGGATGTTCAGAAATATTTGGTGTGGAAAAACATATTAAGTGAACGGATTCATACGGGGAATTACTGGCACCGGTGCTTGCTTGTAATGGAGCTCTTTTCAGCTTGGGAAGTTCAGCTAGATAACGTGGATGTCGAGTTTCATTTCTCAAAGGGAAAAGGGCCTCCTGTTTTCAAAGAGCCTTTAGAAAGCATTCTCAAGGAATGGCCAGCAGCCCATCAAAGAACATCTGGAGTGTATTTATGGACAGTTATTTACTTAAGTGACTCACATTGTTGTTGTTTTTGGAAGCCTATAAACCAAGGCTGGGGAACCTGTGGCCCTCCAGATGTTGCCGAACTACAAGTGATGGATTATGAGTGCTGTTGGATTCATGTTCTGCGTGCAGGATTCCCATAGGGATCTAGTTGGCCACTTTTAAGAACAGGATGCTGGACTAGGTGGGTCTTTGACCTGGTGCAACACACGTTCTTATGTTCCCATCATCCCTGACCATTGGCCATGCTAAATAGGGCTAATGGAAGTCAGAGTCTAACAGCATCTGAAGGCTCATAGTTTCCCCACCCTGATATAAACACTTGAAATTCTGTTACCGATCTGGATGTTTAGCATTCATCAGTTTGGACCATATTTCCATATATATTTTTGGATTTCCTCACACTCCTTCTGTAATAGCAGGGTTCTATGGTTAGTCCCAGGGAGGTGAACATACAATCTGTTTCATACTGTTTGATTCCACTCTTGATTTTGTGGGAGTTTCATTTTATGTGTCAGGCTGAGAAGGTAGCTGACACCTGACCAGAACCATTTGCTGTAGCAGAACTTGAACCACAGTATTTTTTGTTTCTCACTGTACAACTGTTTCAGAACTAGTTTAGTCTTGTTTTTGTTTGCTTGAGCAAACGCTGTATTACTGAGAGATCTGGTGAATCCTGCGGGGTGGGTTCTACCATACCCGTTTAGCATACAAGTTGGGTTGTAACAGATGTTATGGGAAACATGGAGAGCTCACTGTTTCTCATTGCTGATTATTTTACAGTGGTACCTCGGGTTAAGAACTTAATTTGTTCTGGAGGTCCGTTCTTAACCTGAAACTGTTCTTAACTTGAGGTACCACTTTACCTAATGGGGCCTCCTGCTGCCGCCACACGATTTCTGTTCTCATCCTGAAGCAAAGTTCTTAACCTGAGGTACTATTTCTGGGTTAGCGGAGTCTGTAACCTGAAGTGTCTGTAACCTGAAGCGTCTGTAACCCGAGGTACCACTGTATTTGTTTGCCACTTCGTTAAAAAAGAAGTCTCAAAGTAGCCCAATGACAGGATAAAATGCAAATTAAACCAATTAAAGAAAGACCCAGAAAAGAAAAGAACAACTTCTCACATTCATGATGTCACTGCATTGCTCCATCCTGCCTCGCATCATTGGCTGGGCACAAGATATCAGTGGGTCTCTTGTTCCCTCCATCAAACCACTCCTCTCCCTTTTGGCCCCCCTTGCTGAGACTCACAATTTGTTAATATCTATGGGGTGGGATGAGGGATGGATTTGAATGACCTGCATTCATTCTTCCTCTAAGGACTCAGTACCATAAATCTGTAACATGGCAGACTAGCATAAACCAATAATACAGCAGAGTGTGTTTTCTTACCACTGTGGGAAACCACAACCAGAGCCCACATATTTTAAATAAGAAAACAGGGTTTGCACCATTGTGCATCTCTATTTACAGAGTGAGCCTTGCATGTAAATAGAACGTGTTTAAAAATACAGGAACAACAGTGCTAAAAGAGCATTGCTGATTCAATCTGTACTCTATAGCTAGTGTGCATTGTAGCCCCAAGTAGGAACGTCAAGCTAGGAAGATGCAGTAGATCCGTTTTGAAAGTCAGAGCCCCTTCCAAAATTACCTTTACTGCCCAAAGCCAAGTGTAGAAGGACATAAAGATTACATAAGAATAGTCAGCTGGATCAGAGCAAGGCCCATCTAGCAGAACATAAGCACAAGAGCACTTTCCCATCTCATAGTTTCCAGCAACTGGTATTCAGAAGCATAGCTGTCAACTTTCGCCTTTTTAAAAGGGAAATTCCCTTATTCCAAATAGGATTCCTCGCAAGAAAAGGGAAAAGTTGACAGCTATGTTCAGAAGCAATGCTGCCTCCAACTGTAGGGTTAGAAAATACAATCAGATCAGGCAAAATTAATAATAATAATAAATTTTATTTATACCCCACCCTCCCCAGCCAAAACCAGGCTCAGGGCAGCTAACACCAGGTACAAAAACAATTGATTAAAATGCAACTTAAAAACAAGATTAAAATACAACATTAAAATGCAGCCTCATTTCAGTAGAAACTCAAATCAAAAAAAATTGGGGGATGAAAATGTCAAATCTTCACCAAGGCCAACTATCCAGACTGGTCCTACGTGGGCCAGAAAAAGCCAGGGAAGTCCCCAGATAGGAGTTCCATCACAGAAGGAGAAAGGAAAAAGGAAAGAGGGGGAGGGGATCAAGTTGATTCCAAGCCAAAGGCCAGGTGGAACAACTCCGTCTTACAGGCTCTGAGGAAAGAAATGAGATCCTGAAGGGCCCTGGTCTCATGAGGCAGAGCGTTCCACCAGGCTGGAGCCAATGTTGAAAAGGCCCTTGCTCTGGTTGAGGCTAATCTAACTTCCTTAGGGCCCGGGACCTCTAGGGTGTTGCTATTTATGGACCTTAAGGTCCTCCGCGGGGCATACCGGGAGAGGCGGTCCCGTAGGTTCCTTCCTTGAGAACTGACTTGGTGCCAGCTTTCCTTCAAGGAGTTCAAGGTGCATACATCGTTCTCTCTTCCCCACCCGCCATTTCTCCTCAGAACAACAACCCTGTGCAGTTGTTAGGCTGAGGTACAGTGACTGGCCCAAGGGGATTTAAACTGATCTCCAGGGTCCTAGCTCGACACTCTACACACTGGCTCTCCTATGAGGAAAAATGAGCAAAGACAGGGCATGATAGCAGTTGTCTGTTTCTCATGATACCTTTATAACAGGGTTCGACTTCCAGGCTCCTTTTTGAATGTTCAAGCTCCAGAAAGAGAGGTAGCCACCTTGGAACATGTCATCTGCCACACAGCTGTGTAACTGCGCTTGTTGCAAACCTGGAATTAGGAGTAGAAGCCTCCCTGCTCATATGGCAAGAGCTAGCTTTTTTCTTTTTAATGCCAATGTAGCAGAAAGAAAAAGGGGAGAATAAAAACAATAACATTGCTAGCTATCATTAACAATAAAAATATTTCATCAATCTTAATTTAAACATACAGATTGATACAGGCAGTCCGCATGTCCAAATAGGTATCAAACTGAAATTATTATTATTATAATTTGTTAATTAATTAAATTTGTATACCACCCTTCATCCATAGACTCAGTGTGGTTCACAACATAAAATTACAACATAAAAACCACAAAATGCATCATAAAATTAAAAACAATGACAAACCAATAACCCCCTCATTTAAAACACATTTAAAAGGCCATTGGATGTCAATTGACAACAGTATAACACGTGTTCAAATGTAGAAAGGTAATTGAGATTTTCAAAGCAGAATGGCCATTTAGCCTTCCAGCCTTGTAATATAAGTCTCTCTGCCATGCTAAGATCTCCTACACCCACTTTTGTTGGCCGTCTGTTAGTCCCCACGTTATTTCATTAGCTTGTGAACTTGGATTTTTTTTCTGGGCATGGAGGGTAGAAATTAATGGGAAAAGAGGAATACAGCAACTTTAACTTATAAGCCAGATAGCCGTGAGCTGGTGACAATGATATTACCTTCTCATTTGCTAACAATTCCTCTTTGCCCCAACCCAAAAATATACTATCAAATCCTGCTATTTGCTCCCTGCTGAGTGTGTTTCATCACACCCCTCTATATAGTTCTTAGTCCATGGGGAAATTACTAGCAGGGGATGTGGGAGAATTTTATAAAGCAGGGGGAAGTGGAGAGGAAGAAGTTTAAATTTCACTTGAATAAACTGCTCTTCATTCTCAGGGGCTCCTGTGACTAGCCGGTCTCAACAAAATTACATTGCAGTGGAATTTGCTAAGCAGAAAGCTAATCCATGGGTCCTTGATGGAAAACTCAAAAGATCTAGTAATTAGCTCTCAAAGGACTCAGCTGGTTGTTTTACAGCTGCGAAGAAAACACAGCAGAGAGTTTATTTATTGACCTAACTATCTGATAAATCAGGACAAGAGCAGTCTTGGAATCTTTTTCAATAGACCACCTCCTGATCCAGATGAGGTCAACACCCCCACTCAACTTCCTGTCCCAGAATGTGGGGAAAGTCTGGTAAACATAAAGCTGCGCAGGATTTTAAAAGTCTCTGGAGAGAAGGTTTGTGGAAGTGGGTGGCTTTTAATGGAACGGTCCTTTTGTTAGCCGTAGTACACTAGGAATTCATCAAAAACACACAAAAACTGGGCTTTATATATTTAGCACGTCAATAAAACGTTTGGAAATAGCAGGAAATGCAAGATTCAGTGGAGTAATGTTGCACTTCTCTCTCTTTCTCTCTCTCACACACAAACACCTCCTGTTTACATAGAAAAACTTGTTCATTAATCCACCCCCCCACACACAAAATTTGCTTTATCTTCAAGAAGGACAGATTCATTGTTTCCATGCATGATTGATATGATTTGTTTCTCAGTAGGTCACATAAATATATTCCACCGTTTCCCACCATATATGGCAATAAACATTGTCCATTTCTTTGAGAGCAAGTTTGCTGTCAAGTAATAGTATGCAGCCCTCCCACCCAGCTAGGGTTAATATTACTTAGATTAGTGGTTCCCGATTAGCTAAGTACAGGGGACCCCCTGTTTTTCAAAAGCCAATCCATGGATCCCCTTCCCTTGATTTTTCCTGCCTGAAACTGTGGCCATGATTAAGCACTCCCACCCACTGGGGACGTTCACTCAGAAATGATCTTATAAACAGCAACATAAAGCAGCATTTGGAGGAGCTGAGTCAAGGTGCCTCAGTAGCCACTCACAATTCTCTTAAAAACAATTACCCTGAACCATGATTAGTTCCTGAAAATCTCCTTAATAGCTCCTGAAGTCTATTGAAATATGACTCCCATTATGCTAAAGGATAAAGAAGTTATGTTTTCCTCCTTTGGCCTGAATCGCCCATTGTCTTTTTCTTTTAAGATCAGGAAAACATATTATATGAGAGTTATTTTTGTTCTGGGTACCCCTACAGCTGCCTATTCTGTCGCTTGTTTTCAGCGGTACCTTCTGAAGGCAGAGTGATATAATCAAGATAGCAGGTTTACCAAGTTTAAATAATGTCTGGTTACCCTTTTAGCAACATCCAGACTGAAGTCTGACGCATTGTATGGGATGCTATCATTCCCTCTGTCTTTATTGCAGCTTTGTGGCGAGAACCAGGTGTTTTAAGCTCCCACCATGTAGTCTTGGCAACTTAAAGCATGCATTTCCTTCTGTTTTGTCTCTATTTTTATTTATTACCTAAACTGGGAAACTTAGGTATCATGTTCCTCACAGCTGTTAGGGTGTTCCCTTGTTGATACATTAGCAGCACCTTTTAAACTTTTTACATCTGTGTGTTTTGCTTCTTCTTCTTTTTTTTAAAAAAAGCTAATCTTTGTTTTCATTAGGGGTTGAAAGTGCCTATTTTTATCTGATTCCACTCCATACTTATTCCGGAAGCATAATTTGAGTAAAATGTGATAAACATTCAAATTAATACAGAAGTGTGTGTGAAAATACTGTGTGTTTATCTCACCCTTATTTGTTTCCAGCTTTGAGCATAATTGGATTAAAATTTACCCCAATGTATGGATGAAGAAGGTGTTGCTTGATTCTTTGGCTTGAATGATTTGTGGCTGTTTTAACTCCTGGCAACTTTTCTAACTTTGGCAGATGAGCCAAGAGATACCATACCCTTCAACATTTCTTCAATGAAAATAGGGACATCCTATTCCATACTACTACTACTACTGAACAGCCCTGGGACTTCCAGATATAGGGCTGTATATAAATTCAGTAAATAATAATAATAATAATAATAATAATAATAATAATAATACCCCGCCCATCTCACTAGGTTGCCCCAGCCACTCTGGGCAGCTTCCAACATATTTAGAAACATAGCAAAACATTATAAAAACTCCATTATACAGGGCTGCCTTCAGATGCCTTGTACAGTGGTACCTCGAGTTAAGTACTTAATTCATTCCGGAGGTCTGTGCTTAACCTGAAACTGTTCTTAACCTGAAGCACCATTTTAGCTAATGGGGCCTCCTGCTGCTGCCGTGTCGTCGGAGCACGATTTCAGTTCTCATCCTGAAGTTCTTAACCTGAAGAATATGTAACCTGAAGCGTATGTAACCCAAGGTACCACTGTATAGTTACTTATCTTCTTGGCTCAGGGGGTCACATAACTCCATATCCTCCAACATTTCTCTAATGAAAATAGGGACATCCTGAGGAAAAGCGGGACATTCTGGGATCAAATCAGAAACTGGAGTGGCTGCTGTAAATCTGGAACAGTCCCTGGAAAACAGAGACACTTGGATGGTCTGAGACACCGCATATGCAGTGGCGTAGCGTGGGGGGTGCAGGGGGGGCAGGCCGCAACGGGCGCAACATCTGGGGGTTAGGGTTAGGGGGCGCAAATCCACGGGTTAGGGGGCGCAAATTACTTGCCTTGCCCCGGGTGCTGACAACCCACGCTATGCCACTGCACATATGAACCTGCTACTCTCCTCTTGGACTCTTGATTTCTGAGAATTGGAAGGGAGGATGCTCTCAGCGGCTTCTGGCTGGTTGCCCAGGAAAGTATAAAGACAATGAAAAGTTTCTTACCGTCCTTTTTTATTTTAGTCTTTACAGAGAGAGGCTATAGAAACCAGCCTCTTGGATAATGGCATTGTCCCAGTTGAATCTCCTGTCGGCATGCAGAGGGCCGAGAGGCCAGGTGGCAAGCCCCAACTGGGCCGTCTCCTTCCAGCCATGCCGCTGCGAAGACCATCACCTCTGCCCAACATAAATCAGCGACCCGGGCTTCACAGGTTCTGGGAGAGGGAAGGTCTGGAATACTTTCTAGTGACCATGTGTCAGCCAGCTGCTGCTTCGGCTCTGCCTACTCCTCCTCTCCCATTATTTCCCAACTTTTCCCCTCATCTGCCTCTGAGCTGTGACCTCCCACAAACCACTGTTGTAAATCTCTACTGTCTTCCTCTTCCCCCTCTCTGGAAGGGTCAAGCTGGGGAGTTGGTCTCCACCATTCCTCCTCTGCCCAGTCCCAGACTTTACCCCCTGCAAAGCACCTCCTGTCTCTGCCACCAAACAGCTCTTGCTCTTGGAAAGTTTGTTCTGATGTTTAGTCGGAATCTCCCTTCGAAACCTCCAGTCTCGGAAAGGAAAATAAATTAGCAGGGTCTGTCACCACTGTATCACTTTCTTTGGGTTGTTCCCCACATTTAAAACAAGAATTCCCCCTTTCTTCCAGTGGTCATATGTCATATAAAAATGCTTCCAATAATAATATATTTCATTCAGTATAAAGATCAAGGGTGTTCTATGAGTTGGGCAATTTTTCATGCTTTTGTAGCATGGAAATAGATCTTTCTAGATTATGCTTATTAATTTTTAGTCTTTGGGTATGTACAAATAACACACCCAAGGCTTGCATGAGATGATAGAAACTGCAGAACAGTTTATGATTTGTCTAAATTCCAGACTTTTACAAAGTCTCATTCAGCCTCCTGGTATTTATGAATAATTCCTAAAACTCGTGTTTTTAAGCTGTGGCATCTGATAGAAGGCAGATGATATACTGTAGTGTCTTTGGGAAGCGCAAATTAGGTCTTTGTTGAATGGCCTCCCATTTCAAAGTTTAGGTCAAAATTAGGGATCAGAGAGGGCGAAATATTTCCAGATAAACTCTGAATTGCAAAGATGGTCACCTTTTTATTGTGTCTACTGCCATTGTTTCATTTGTCACTGCTTCAGCACCCTCCCCACCCATCCATGTCTCATTGCTACATCTTTCCTGATTGGACAAATACAGTATGTGATCCGATACACAGGGCCGTCTTAAGTATATCTGGCACCATGGTGCAAAGATCCCTCTGGCGCCCTCCCCCCATTTCCCAGAGTTGACAACCTTTTTATGGTGCTGCCAGCAGCTTTGCGGGGCTGGAGGAGGAGGGAAGCGGCTGGAGGACGGCTCCTCTGGCAAGGAAGAGGCAGAGGCTCCGGGTCAGCGCTGCTTCAGCAAGGCGGGTGAGGGCGGCGAGCCAGTGTTGTGTACTGGTTAAGAGTGGTAGACTCATAATCTGGTGAACCGGGTTCGCGTCTCCACTCCTCCACATGCAGCTGCTGGGTGACCTTGGGCTAGTCACACTTCTCTGAAGTCTCTCAGTCCCATTCACCTCACAGAGTGTTTGTTGTGGGGGAGAAAGGGATGTTAGCCACTTTGAGACTCCTTTGGGTAGTGATAAAGCGGAATATCAAATCCAAACTCCTCCTCCTCCTCCTCCTCTTCTTCTTCTTCTTCTTCTTCTTTCCCCTCTTCCCTGGCACCCGTGCCGTGGTGGCCATGGCAGGCGGAGGCTCCAGGCGCGGCGCTGCTTCGGCGCGGTATGGCGGAGGTGGACGAGGGCAGCGAGCTGATGCCGGGAGGCGCTGCGTCCAGCCGCCTCCGCCTCTTCCCTGGTGCCCTCCAGAACTTGGCACCCTGGTGCCCTCCAGAACTTGGCGCCCTGGCACCCCACACTACTTGCCTCTATGGGCAAGACACCCCTGCTGATACAATTGTAGATTACATAGAGAACATGATGGTGCTGCATGGTCTGTTGGATTTGCTACATCACAACATCAGATGAGTGCCCCCCCCCAAAAGGCCAATTGAGAGTAAGGGCAATGTCTCCTGGATCATTTGCAGGTGATTCCAGCCAACTGATAAGGATGACGATGGGATGACAATACAGTGCTACCTTGCCAGTCATGTTTGGCTATGTGCTTATGTCACTTTGGAGGGAAAGTTCAGAGTGACAACAATATTTTCTGAGCTGGTGGACACTTTTTGCTGCCTTTTAGAGCAATCACCAACGAAATAATCAGGGCTTTTCAATGCTGCCACAAATGTTTGCAAAAAGTGGAACCCGTTGACTGAGGGCAATGTTTTGAATGCAAGAGGATAACTATAAAACTGACTAAAGTTTTCTATGGCTTCTGTTTTCAGGAGCTGGGCAAATACTGTTCACAGCAATAAACATTCCATATAACTTTAAAGACTTAACAGAATCAAACTATATTGGATTTGACCAAAAGTTTAGCCTTTCATCTTCCATATTTCGAGGTTTTAAATGAATGGAAGCACATAAGCAGAACAGTCACTTTAAAAACAAATAAAACACATTGCACATTGTTGTGCTTTATTAAGATGCATGTCAGTTAGTTGGGGGTGGATGACAATGGACCAAGTAAGTGAATAAAAAAGAAAATGCAAAATATATCAGATTGATAACCAAGGGTACAGGTATGTAGCTCCAAGAAAGAGGAAGACATCAGTGGAGAAACTTGTCCAATCAGCAAGATACACCTTTGAGAGGCTGCTAAATGTCGGGGTCCCCCCCCTTCTTCCTTTGCACATCCTTTCCCAGTGTCTTGTGTGAAGAGTGGTATGCATCCTTCCTATGGAGAGATGGATGTTCTGGCCCCATGTTGAAAAACACACATCTTCTCCCTTGCATTGAGTCTTGGGAGAGGAAGCACAAATCTCTCATGATTCATCTGCTGACAGTTTCCAAAGCATTCTGAAGCCGCTGTTGCAAATTTGTTCTTTTCCCCCAAACTGCTTGGCTGCATGGATGGCTGTGAGAGAAGCGGTAGAATGGGGGGAAGAACTTCTGGACATCTGATTTAGTTTAGCAGTGTGGGAAAAATTCCTGACAAACTGGGAACCAAGGAGAATAGCCTTATTGACAGCACCTTCCTGGCTACAAGCAGTTACAGCGCTATGCTACCCATCATTTAATCAAGTTAACTTTTTTTTCTATTGCTCTCAAGTCTGCAGGAAGCCTCTAAATTCCAGCACAGGGTCCAGTTTCTAATTCAAAACACACAACCCATTTCCACACACAACACACATTTTGAAGGTTGTTGTGAAAGAGGCTGTGACATTTTGGTTACTGAGGCAGAAAATCCAAAGGGTGTTTCCCACAGTGGTGAAATAACAGAAGACAATGAAATTTAAAAAAAACACAAAAACTTGGTGATGGGTGCCCTTTATAGGTACTCCAGAGTCTGATACCTGAGCCAGACTGTGCCATCTTGTACCAGTAAATAACCATTGAGAGTCACCACCCATAAGGAATTAGGAGAAGATTGACTTGAGCCCCAGCATCTAATTTCCTAGACATTAAGCACTGTGTTAGATGATCATGATGTATCTGTCACAAACCTACTGTGCTAATAGCCAGTGGTGCAGTTAGGTAATTTTAGCCTTTGGACTTACAGAGGGCTGATCTTTAGATGGTAATGTGTATATGATAAGTCAGCCCTGCTAGGTTTTACATCCCCTCCAACATTTGTCTGATGAAAATAGGGACGTTCTGATCCATTATTATTATTATTATTATTATTATTTACTGTTTATACCATTCCTCATTACATATCTATTTTTATAGAGTTGCCATTTGAAAATCATTACACATTTGCCTGGGAGTAAGGCCCACAGAACTCTGAGTTCTGTGTATATACTGTAACTTGTTAATATATCAATCAACTGAATTTGCCTCTCAATTTATTGGAACAGGTGAAATTGAAAGGCAATTCAATTGTGTTAACATCAGAGAGCTATTAGCTCTCCTTGTTGACGCGCCAAGTTTTTCAAAAAGGGGGAAATATTCTATATTCCCAAGGAAAGTAAAATAGATTACCTTTCCTTTTGGCAATGAATGGAAACTTCTGTTGTGAGGTATCTCATATGTAAGAGAAACTCTTTCTTTCAATATCCTCACAAAGACAGTTGTGGTTTTGAAGACTGGGGTTTTGATGATATGCACATTTTATTTGCATTTGAATGAGTATTTTGTGATATAATCCAAAGCCATATGGTTAGTCAACCCCTGGCCACAATCCTAAACACACTTATTGTGGAGAAAATTCCATAGAATTCAGGGGGATTCAATTCTGAGTAAACCTGTTTAGACGCAAGGCATCATATCTGTAATTTTGCATACAGTTAAGTCTCCCTAAATCCCATCAATTCCAATTGGGTTTAAACAGCTTAATTGGGGAGATGGAATGGCAGCCTAGAGTTTTAATCAGTTGACAACCTTTGATACATGGTAGAGACATTTTGTAATTTATTTATTTTTTTAAGACAGGTCATGGGCCGTTATGGTGCTGCCATAGAAACAGATGGAAATGCATTTGAAACGATTAGGGACTGCAAACCACAGGCCAGAGGAACTGGGGCCATAAAATTGGAGAGAGAGCATGAAACATAAAGCAGTTCAATATTTATGCTTTGTACAAACCAGATGGTGCAGTAACTGGAATACTTAATACCAAGTCCTCATATGATGACTTCTGCAAGGTCAACCAAGGATTGCTAACGATTGCTGCCCTCACATGACATTCAACTCTGCATGCTACAGCATTCATTCTCTCTAAACAGCACTGGCTGAGTAAATCCAGAGCCCTTTCTGATAAAATAACAGGTGTGTCAAATGTCTCCAGTGTGGTGTAGTGGTTAAGAGCGGTAGACTTGTAATCTGGGGAACTGGGTTTGCGTCTCCGCTCCTCCACATGCAGCTGCTGGGTGACCTTGGGGCCAGTCACACTTCTCTGAAGTCTCTCAGCCCCACTCACCTCACAGAGTGTTTGTTGTGGGGGAGGAACGGAAAGGAGAATGTTAGCCGCTTTGAGACTCCTTTGGGTAGTGATAAAGCAGGATATCAAATCCAAACTACTCTACTCTACTCTCCCAGAGCAGCTAACATAAGATGAGTGCAAGATCAACTAGATAGTTCTTGCCTGTAGACTTATCATCTAAGAGAAATGATGCAAAAGGAAAGGGGAAGGTGGAGGGAAGAGAAACAAGCAAGCTTGGCCCCCAGCTCTAATATTTCAAAATTCATATAAAGACGATGGAACTGAGAGAGTTGAGAGGGAGAAGGAGCCAAAAGGAGCTGATCTTTCTGCAGACCCAACAGAATGGTCCTGTCCCTCCTTCTCTTTCTCTGTTGTAGCCAGGTGGCAACTGCATGTGACTGATGTCATGCATAGTTTAAGTCCAGATCACAACGCCCAGCAAATATGTCAAGTTATGAGTCAAGCCACAAGGACATGTGAAAGCACCCAGAGGGTGGGAGAAGAATTATAGATCCCAAAATGAGGATTAAAAGGAAGCCAGTGAGTGCAAGAGAATTATTCTCTTGCTGTCACAATGCATAATATGAGAAAGAGTTTCATGAAATCACCACTGATGAATTTGGCTCACAGAGCAAAAACGCCCTTTGAAATTTGGCTTTCTACGCAGTCAGCAATTTAATCTGGAGACTAATGAAGTACAATCACTCCTCTTATGACACTTGTTTTTTTCTCTTTCCTTCTCGGTCTCTTGTTGAGGTTCAGGTTTGATGAATCCAAATTAACTCTGCCAAAACCACTAATACCACCTTTCACGTTTAATTCTGGGAAAAATCACTATGTGTCTCATCCAATTTGAGTGAAAGAAACCATGAATAGCTTCAGGTTTGCTAGGTGTATCCTGAAGATTCAAACTCTACTGACCTATCGTTAACCTTCTCTGCATTTCTAGTTAATAACAAACAGCACTCTTAGTACCTACAAATAAATCTTCAGTAAGCTGTGCCAACTGAAGAATCTTGCAGCCTCACAAACCAGAACATTAAACTAGCAGAGTCAAGAAAGCCCTGTTAATTTAAGGAGAAGGCTATCACATCATGGCCTTTTTCTCAAGTCCATACTGAGATAATTAAGAAATAAAACTAAAGATATATTTATCTAAATACAAATAATTTCATGGAATAGGGTGGCTAAATTAATTACATTATATAAATAATTATAGTGCTTCTGCCGCACTATAATATCTGTAGGTTTTTAAATAAATATATCACAAAGACACTCAAACAGTGCAATTCTAACCATGCCTACTCAGAATGTTAAGTCCTACTGAATTCAGTGAGGTTTACTCCCAGGTAAGTGAGGTTTGGGTTGCAGCATTGGTCTCTGGTACTCTGGGATGCCTGCCTTGAATTTCTGACTGCTCCTGGAAAGGAAAGTATGAAATCATGAGGAATGATTTTCTAAAGTCCTGTGACCATTCTAGGCTTTGGCTGTTCCCCAAACATTTACAATCAGAAAGGGATTATCTACTGCATTGGTTTTCCTCAGCCTTGACCCTATCATACAATTGATTTCATGGTTTGCTGCACAATGGAGCAGAGCTAAGAGACAAGAAGACAGGTGTGGGAGGAGGCTAAATGCTGGACCAATGTCAATATTCCATTTCTGAAGACTTCCTGAGTATCCCTTTTCTTGAAAACCTGTACAACAAAGCAAAACACTTGCATTGCATAGTATTGATGCAGGATCATCAGTTGCAAACTCTCTCATGGGCCCCTGCTCTGGTTACACAAGGTGGTCTGTTGAATATTTTGTACACTATCACCATGGCATCTCTTGTAGTACACTGTAATAAAATAATATCTGAATGCCAAATCTGTGATTTTCTGGAGCAGCTGCCCATAGTGACATGACGTTGGCCGATGATCAACCCAGACTGAACCAGCTTTTTAAATTTCAGAGCTGTTTCATGTTACAAATGGTTGTTGGCTACAGTTCTTCTGATATGGGCAAATCTGTGCTTATCTCAGGAGTTTGGCATAGCATTCAGTGATTAAATGTAATTCTGAACGCTGAACAGCCTGGACTAAATAATTACCACATTTTTTTCTGTCTCTTGAAATATTTTTCCTCCATTCATGCAGTTGTCTACAGCTATCTTTACAACATAGATTCAGGTGGAATTGAGTGTTAGGAAGGAGCTGTTGTGAAGATGAACAGAAAACAATAATTTCAAACCACTCATAGAATGACATTTTAAGAGTGCTTTGGCTAGCTGATACCTTTTCAACCAACAGGATGCACCCTATGAAGGGTGAGACTCTGCCAACCCTTCTCTAGAACATGAAGGTAGCAGGCAGCATAACAGTAATCCTGTGGGAACAAGTCTGTGTTTATCCTGGGAAGCATGTCAAAGGGAGTTGCATATAGCCAGTTCTGATGCCAACCCCAAGGGCACTATCAATGCAAGCCACACTCCTATGCAAGCCATGGATAGAGGGATGATAGATAGATAGATAGATAGATAGATAGATAGATAGATAGATAGATAGATAGATGATAGATGATAGATGATAGATGATAGATGATAGATAGATATTTGTGTATCAGAAGGAGAGCATGGCAGTATGTTGTTTTCATCTGAGACTTATGAGAGAAGGAGAAAGGCGTGTCGGTTGGAGACTGGCTGGTTGGCTTTTAGCAGCTCAAATGAACCCAGGGTTGACACACAACGGAGACTGAGATTTCAATCTGTGTTGGTCTCCCAGATGAGAGCAACCACAGAGACAGCTAAAGCCAAGAGGTCTGCCCAACCTGGTTTATGATGCAAGGGGGCTTTGAGCCAATCACTAGAGCTCTTTGACCTTTGCTCCTCCACCCCCTTGTAAGAACATAAGAAGAGCCTCCTGGATTACGTCAATGGCTCATCTAGTCCAGCATCCTGCTCTCACACTGGCCACCCAGATGCCTATGGAAAACCCTTAAGCAGGGCCTGAGCAAAACAGCACTCTCGCCTCCTATGACTTCCAGGAACTGGTATGCAGAAGCAAAAGGACATGAGTGGTGCTGTGGTCTAAACCACTGAGCCTCTTGGGCTTGCCGATCGGAAGCTCGGTGGTTCGAATCCCTGCGACGGTGTGAGCTGCCGTTGCTCTGTCCCAGCTTCTGCCAACCTAGCAGTTCAAAAGCACACCAGTGCAAGTAGATAAATAGGTACCACTGCAGCAGGAAGGTAAATGGCATTTCCGTGCGCTCCGACACTCGTCCCGGTGTCCCATTGTGCCAGAAGTGGTTTAGTCATGCTGGCCAAGTGACCCGGAAAACTGTCTGTGGACAAATGCCTGCTCCCTCGGCCTGAAGTGAGATGAACGTTGCACCTCATAGTCACCTTTGACTGGACTTAACCGTCCAGGGGTCCTTTACCCTTTTTTTTACCTTATGCAGATGCATTACTGTCTCTGACCATGAAGGCAGAGCATAGGCATCATGGTTAGCAGTCATCAATAGCCTTACTCTCCAGCTTTATCCTCCTCACTATCACCAGCCATACATCCTCTCCCTCTGGCCCATGTGCGAGTTCTCTCTCTCTCTCTTTCCAGAAAAGCTGTGCATTTTAAGAGCATTGGCTGTGATTACTTTTTCATATGTCATGGTTCAAGCAAAATCATAATATAGGCCAAGCAATCACACTTTTTTTAAAATAAGCAAAATAATTTGTAGTTTGGGCACACCTGCCTGCCTGCCTGCCTGATACATTAATTGTGCACTACAACAGCAACAGTGACTATGTTCAGGTGATCATCTAAACCATAATATAAATTAATGCAAATAAATGGTGGCAATCCTTGGGCTCACACTCTCACTATCCTATCTTATCCTCCTCAAGCATAAGCTCTTTCACTTTTTAAAATAACTAAATCAGTTTCCTGTTACAAATGAACTTGGAAAACTGGTTTATTCTAATTCTAGCCACTTAAAAAAGCAGGGTATCGAACCACAGTAAAGGTTTGTTAAAAGTCCAGACTCTACCATATATCCTTTGTGAGGAAGAAACTACAAGGGAAAGCTGTAACCTTTTCTTTGTTTTAATCTGTGAAAATGCTTGCTTTTGCTATCTTTTCATTTGCTTTGTGAAATACTGCATTATTAGTGCCTAATATGAAATTTAAACTTCAGAGGGAGATAAAAATTCCCACGCCAGTTCCCTATTTTATCATGTTGCAAGGAAGAAGGACATAAACCAGGTTACCTCTGATTTATAGAACTGCTTGCGAAAGTCAGCAGATAGTTCGAGAAATGGGATGTATTGTATTATCCTCAACCTTTCTTGTCAGCTCAGATGAATGACTTCACGGTAGATGAAAAGAGACCTGAATACCTTTCTATTCTGCTGGAGCAGAGTGTTATTTTCCCCTTTAAACAAAGCAAGACATGGACTAGGACTTTAGCATCCTATGAAATGTATAACATTAATGTAAGATTTTAAGCTCAGTCCAACTGGCCCCAGATCAAAGGCGCAGAGAGGAATTTTGCCAGCTCTCTTTGTAAAAGGACCCTTTCTTCTGTGGGTGGGTGAGAAAACTTGCCTTGCCAGTCCAGCAAAAGAGGCTGCCTTTAAAACTGAAGGCTACATTACAGCACAATCTCTTGCATGTTTTCCCAGAAATAAGTCTCATTCAGGCTTACTCCTAAGTAAATGTGTTTGGGACTGCTGCTGCTGCTGCTGGAGGACAAGGGCTGTAGCTCCAGGGAAAGAGCTGTACCCTAACATCCTCAACTAGGGTTGGAAGAATGCCTTGTCAGACATCCTAGACCACTGGTGCCAGTCAGTGTGTAAACAGATACTGATACAGATACTGAGCTACTGGGGAGGTCCAAAAAATATCTACATGGTGCCTAGGGAACAACTTGCACCTTAATATCAGCAAGACAAAGGAGATGGTGTTTGACTTTCGGAGGAAGAGAGGAGAACTAGCCCCGCTGTACATCGGGGAGGGCTGTGTGGAGAGAGTCTCTTCCTTTAAATTCCTAGGAGTTTATCTCAGTGAAGACCTTGCTTGGAAAATAAATACAACCCAGGTGGTTAAGAAAGCCCAACAGAGACTCCATCTCCTCAGAGTCTTGCAGAAGAACAATGTCAATCAACATCTGATGATCTCCTTCTACCGGTCAACAATAGAAAGTGTCCTTTCATACTGCATCACGGTGTGGTATGCTGGTTTGACATCATCTGATAGGAAGTGCCTACAGACGGTAGTGAATACAGCACAATATATTATGGGCTGTCCCGTGAATCCACCGGATGAAATAGCAGAAGAATGTTGCCTCAGGAGAGTGAGAAAAATTCTCACGGATGATTCACCCCCTGGCCGGCACTTTCTTGATCTCCTGCCCTGAGGCAGAAGATATAGAAGCATGATTAGTCGCACCAACAGGGTAAAGAACAGCTTCTATCCGTGGGCTATTAGGCTGCTGAATGAAAATATAACAACAGGGCAACTGACTTTTGGGTTTGGTGGGTGTGCGCCAGTAAACGAGGGGAATTAAGACTAAGAGAGCTGAGTGGGGGGTGTTCATGAAATCTCACTGTATACAAGTTGTACAAGTGACAATAAAGTATTTCAATTTCAATTTACATGGGCCACTAGGCTGACTCAGTGTGATTTTATCATACTGGTTCTACATTAAAGGCAGATTTAGGGAAGCACTACTGGTTTGCCCTCACTGGGTGCCAAGCTGAGACAGGACCACAGGAAGTGCCACAAAATGAAGTAGAATGGAAGGTGAGAGGTGGGGGGACACCGCTGAAGTTTGAAAGCCCAAAGTCCAGGCTCAATTCAAGGTGCTGGAGTTAATCTTTAAAGGGGTTAATGGCTTGCGACTTGGTGCTGAAGGAACCACCTTTTCCCCTGTGTTCTTCCTTGCATTCTCTGATTGCCATCTCAGGCCCTGTTCCAAACCCATAAACCTCAGGAAGCAAGATTAGTGTCAACTAGGAATAGGGTCTCCTATGTTGTGGGGCCTGTCTTATGGAATTCCATGTTCAGCGAGGTCTCTTAGGCCCCATTGCTGTACTGCTTCAGTCAGTTGACGACAACCTTGCTTTCTTTTAAAGGCCTTTGCTTATATAGTATTTGATGGTTCAGTTCCATATTATTTTTGCGCTGGTGGAGTTGTCAACTGGCTTGGATAGTCTTAACTTATTACTCTGAATGCACATTGGTGTAGGTTAAAAAAGTTATACATTTTTTTTCTCTTTTCACTACAATTTGTTAACCACCCGGAGTCTCTTTGGAGAAATAGGTGGAATATTTTTTTAATAATAATAATATTTAATCCCAAGCCACTGTTGTGAATTCCAGAACCATGTGCATGGGTCCAGTTGCATGGGCCTTTCCAACCTGATGCTCAGGTGATATATCTGGTGGGATACATCCATGCAAGTGATTGTTGCCATCAATAACATGGTTTTGGCATCAGCATGAGATCACAATATGGAGGAGTGCTGCCATGCCACAAGGGACTAATGTGAATGGGTCCTCAATGTACTACATTTGAACATACAGTGGTACCTTGGGTTACATACGCTTCGGGTTACATACACTTCAGGTTACAGACTCCGCCAACCCAGAAATATTACCTCGGGTTAAGAACTTTGCTTCAGGATGAGAACAAAAAATTGTGCTCTGGTGGCACGGCAGCAGCAGGAGGCCCCATTAGCTAAAGTGGTGCTTCAGGTTAAGAACAGTTTCAGGTTAAGAATGGACCTCCGGAACGAATTAAGTACTTAACCTGAGGTACCACTGTAAATTGAAGAAAATGAGCTCTTCATACGTGAGCTTTAAAATGTATTGCGTCAACATTTCATAGTAACTGATGCGTTAAGCAACCACATGCTTCCAATGAGGTTATTAAGACCCTCAAGAAGGTTATATTAACGGGGCAATTTGCTTTGCTTATTGATTATTTACAGTGGTGCCTCACAAGACGAAATTAATCCGTTCCGCGAGTCTCTTCGTCTTGCGGTTTTTTCGTCTTGCGAAGCACGGCTATTAGCGGCTTAGCGGCTATTAACGGCTTAGCGGCTATTAGCGGCGTTAAGAAAAAGGAAACAAACTCGCAAGAACTCGCAAGACGTTTCGTCTTGCGAAGCAAGCCCATAGGGAAATTCGTCTTGCGGAACGACTCAAAAAACGCAAAACCCTTTCGTCTAGCGAGTTTTGCGGGGCACCACTGTATTCCCTTGGTGTCACTCACTTCCTCTAAGGAGCTCTGGGCAGCATAAATGGGGTTTTCCTATTTTATCCTTGCAAGAAACCTGAGCAGTAGGTTAGGCTGAGTTACTGGCTCGAGGTCATCTAATGATCAGAGAGGGAACAGAACCCAGGTGTCCCTGGTCCAGGTCCAACACACCTGCTTCCTGCCAGTATGCCCAAGCTGCCCTTGAGCCAGAGTGCCTGAAAATAAGACAACACAAAGTCATCAGGACTCCCTCTGTGCCAGGAAACTAACCCTTTGGTGGGTACTCGTGCAACTTCCTTTCACTTAAGAAAATAGGGAACATAATGGGAAACCAGAGCTATTACAACCCCTTTTGAGTGGCTTCTAAATTGCCACTGAGAGGAGTATATTTCAGCAAGTAGCACATTTCTTTAAATTTCTCTCTAATCCTGCCTGGAGAATGGCCCCCTGAATAAATTCATGCATAATCCATCACAGTATAGTTTCCCACCCCCACCCCCCAAAAAAATGCTTATCGAAGCCTTCCTCAGCCTGCTGTGCTCAAGACATTTTGGACCTCCGCTTCCATTGACTCTGGTCATTGGCCAGCCTGACTGGGGCTGATGGGAATTGTAATCTGAAACATCTGGAGGGCACCAGGTTGGAGAAGATTGGCTTGTTTTGGTTTCTCTCCATTTCTTTTTCCAAACTTTTATCCTGTTCTCTGCATTTCTGCATCAATTTACAATTTTTTTAAAAAAATCCTCCTGAAAATTCATCAGTGTATTAATACACATTTATCCCAATTTTATGCATTTTTGCCTAAATATCCACATTTTTGCAATCATTTTTGACTGTTGCAATACCTTTTATGTTAGTCTACCTAAAACAGGCATTTTATGAACAGTTTTCCATAAATATGCATTTATGCTCACATTATTTGGATAAAGAATTGAATTGCAAAATTCAGGGAAATGTGATTTCAAAGCATAGTTGCATGTTGGGTTTGTGTATTGTTCTGGCAAGTGTGAATTAGCTAGATACCCATTAAAATGTGAACTGAACTGAATTTCTCTCCCTTTCCTACTTATGGAGTAATTTCTGAAAGCAAAGCAATGTCTACCAAGTGTTACATCAGAACCAGCACTTTATTTAAATATAGGAATGCCAAAAAAACCTCTGCTAGCGCGTGCCCAACCTAGTTCCTACATTTATAGTAATCAGAAGTGACATTCTTAATATCAATATACGAATCCTGTTTCAGGTCTTTAGCTTAGGAAAATATGTGTTGTGCAGAGTCTTTTCCAGAAAACCATACAGTCTAGAGCTTCTTCTTTGTCACATGTATTATATGACATTTAAAGTTGATGAAACCATCTGTAAATAATCTGAATTGATGAAATGTTGGGTGCATAGAGAAAGGGGCAGGAAATGTCAAGTTTAAGCTGCAAACAGGTCAGAGGACCAAAAAAAGGCACATTCAGGAACATTCATAAGAGACAAAGACCTTTGCATGATTATGGCGACACAGGAACAGAGTATAATCACAGATGAATGATATCCCTTTCAGTGTCCTGCTCAAAATTTTCTGCATACTTTCGTTTTTATGGGTATAATTCTTAGGTTTTTATGAATACATTTACTAGCTGCTTAACCCTGCAATATACTGTGTGGAAAAGTAATAAATGCAAAAGATTTGTTTTAAGGCATGGTGTAATAGTCAAATAAAAACCAAAATACTTCACAATGTACTTGACTTGGTGATTGCAGACCTACATTTTTGAGTGCCTTGGTCCACATCCTCAGTATGAGCAAATTCAAAGCACAGTCTTTTCCATACTACATGTGCAGCACCCACCTGTGTGCGCAGCCCTGCATATGTGAAGAGGTGCCCCATAGTCTTGCACTCAGCCCTTCCTTGGCCCCTGCCTGCTTCAGCCAGCAGACTGCACTGCCACCATGTGAAGCATTTGGGCATCTTAAAGAATGTGAGGCCCACCCACACCCCAGTTACACTTGTCGACACCGCTCCATTCCCCCGGTATGCAGCATAATCATAGCTGTGGCGCACACAGTTCTAACTCCTTGCTATTTCCCAGCAGACTGCTGCCTCTGGTGGCTGCTTGGCTATGTCTGATGGTAGGACTAGCCCTGAGATCAAGTCACACTTGGTAGTTGTCAGGAGTTCATCCTACACTCGAGTAGGACCCTGGCAGAGACACATGCCCGACTGGCATGTTCTCTCCCTCCTGGTCGTTCGTTCGGGAGCTTCAAAAGCTTTCTTCTGCTCGAACATCACAGCAACCAATGCCAACAGACATCAGCACACTTAGGGATCTGCAGAGTCTTCGCAGCTTGCGTAACAGACCTCAGCGTAACAGACCTCAGCAACTCAGCATTTTGGCTAATCTACTTTATTTACATATAAACACACATGGAGCATTGCAACATGGCTCTCTCTCTACCATCAGACAGCAAAGAGAATGAATATAGGACAATAGTCCCATTTCATGGAACACAGTAACACAAACATTCCCACTTTGTGGAGTCAAAACATACACCATCATGTGAAAGACTGCAATCACGGAGCAGGAATTCTAACAGTAGCATGGCATCATACTATCACTTGCCAGAGTGGTGCATGCTCTAGTTATCTCCCACTTGGACTACTGCTCTACATGGGGCTACCTTTGAAAGTGACCCAGAAACTACAATTAATCCAGAATGCAGTAGCTAGACTGGTGACTGGGAGCGGCCGCCAAGACCATATAACACCTGTTATGAAAGACCTACCTGGGCTCCCAGTACATTTCTGAGCACAATTCAATTCAAAGTGTTGGTGCTGACCTTTAAAGCCCTAAACGGCCCAGTCTCCACCCATATTGTTCAGCTCGGACACTGAGGTCCAGCTCCGAGGGCCTTCTGGTGGTTCCCTCACTGCGAGAAGTGAGGTTACAGGGAACCAGGCAGAGGGCCTTCTTGGTAGCGGCACCCACCCTGAGGAATGCCCTCCCATCAGATGTCAAGGAAATAAAAAACTATCTGACTTTTAGAAGACATCTGAAGGCAACCCTGTTTTGGGAAGTTTTTAATGTTTGATGTTTTATTGTGTTTTTAATATCCTGTTGGAAGCCGCCCAGAGTGGCCAAGGAGGCCCAGCCAGATGGGTGGGGTATAAGTAATTTATAAGTAATAAATTATTATTATTATCATCATCATCATCATCATCATCATCATCATGACTCGTGGGCAAGGAATGTCTACAATAAATCAGTGAGAAGCACTTTTACATGTTCATTGGGAGGGGAAGAACCATGTCCTTAAACATGCATAAACTAGAGCACATTTTCCTGGGATTCACCTGATTCTAACAATAATTAGCCATTTTCAGATATTCAGCATGTATTCAATTAACACATTGTGGGGTGGGGAGACAGTGTCTACCCAAACCTGCACACATTCCTTTTGATAACTGAAAAGCTGTACATGTGGAAAGCTCTTCTCTACATATTTTGGAAACCTTGGAAAAGCAGACGTGTCCTTCTGTGTGTGCGTGTTGCCATCTGAAAATGTACATTGCAAGTAGAGTCTGGGTTTTGATATTTGGTTCATCTTATGAACGTTCTTTGGCAATCAGCAAAAGGACTGGGACTCAGTCTTGAGGGGGCAAGCTTTGGAAATCAAATTCCAAAGGATGGTGTAACTTCACTGTGACTGAGGCAGTGTTTGTCAAGTCACCACAAGACTTACTTCTGAGCAAGCATGCATGAGAGGAATGTGCAGTGTAGCGGTCCAGCTCCAAGATCTGCAGCACTTTCTCGGTGTGGGCTGAGAGAAGCCACAGAATTAACTGATATTCATCTAGCCTCTCTGCTCCAACCATGAGAGGCAGGATCTCACCAGCATTTGGGCATGCATGCCCGACACACACGTAGAAATACAAGGCTTCTATATGGAATTCCTGAGTATTTGGTATAAGACCAAAATGTTTTGAGTAGAATGCTTTGCTTCTTCCAAGGGAGTATACTTCCTTTTTCCTCTAGACATGGAATGTATAGAAAAATATGTGAGGGAAAGCCTGTGAGGTTTCCTGTTCTATATGCAGGAATGCATATAGCATAGCAAACAATATGGCCTGTATTTATTATGGTGAAAATAGAATTTGGTATTACAGTAAAATTGTACAGTTGTGACACAAATCCTGCAATGAAAATTTGTGGGTCTGGAGCATTGCTGGCTGCAAGATGTGGAGAGAGTTGGCATATTGCAAGTTTATTTTTATTAGCACACATGCAGATACAATCTATCTATCTATCTATCTATCTAATATTTTTACATCAAGTTTCATTACAAAAATATCAGTGCATAACTGCCCTTGATTTGTACTGTGCATGAAATGGAAAGAGAATTTTATAACAAAAAATCCATAAAACAGTTTTTATTTATGAATATTTAGAATAAAATATTCTTCCTTTTCCAAGTCATTTGATCCACAGATAGTTTTATACAACGTTATCCATGATCAGAAATGTTACCCATAATCAAAAAAGAGTAAATGCATCAACCACAAAAAGAGAGCAAAAGAGGAGACAGATTTACATAAAATTGTCCCTGCTCCCACCCCAAAACATGCAAATAGAGGCTCTTACTTTTAAGTAAGAAAGAAATCATTATTCAAGTGAATACTGTTAGAGGTTCAGCAACAGACACAAGGTTCAGGAGCCATAGTGCAGGAGTTTAAGAACAGGTCAAGCAGTTCTGAACTGGATGGAAGCAACAAATATGTCCCAATAAGTTTCCACACCCCACCCGCCAACCTTTTAAAGATGAGGCATTGTGCTCTCTCTCTCAATTTGATGCAAGACCACACCCTCTTGGTTTGGTGCCTGTCCAATATGTATATAATGACTGTAAGTTGTATAGAGATGCACCTCATCATAATGGGGAAGACAGGGACCAGACCAGGTAACTTGTCAACTTGCAGTATATAGGCTGGTCTCCACAACCTGGTCTTCCATCTTATGGTTGCTTATATTGAAAGTGGATGTGGACCAGACAGACTTTCAAAGGGAGAACTTCAAATCCTGGCTGGCCCAGGGCATTTTTCTGCCTCTGGTAGAGCAGCAGGTGGTGCCTGCCCCCAGCCCAAATGAAGATGAAAAGTTACTTTGGCACCTGGGGCAAAACAACAACAACTCTCAGAACCATCTCTTCCCAGCAGGAATAATAACAACAGTAACAAACAGGAATAGCTAGCAACGTGTCATATTTAAGAATACCCAAAGTCTGTTGTCTGGGGTGGCTGTCTCACCCTACGCCACAGCAGAGCCACCCTAGATTCAAACAGAAGACTGTCCTATGAGAGTTCTTCAAACAGACAACCGTCTTCTGTAAAACAGGGCACACAGCCACCTTCCACAGTGGCCCCACCACCTGCTTTCTGTGTCAGGAGAAACTCTGCACCCACCCTATAGTGAAACTCTTGAGACCGGGGGTGGGGAAAACCATGTCGTTGTCTCTAGCACTTGTTCCAGAGTTTAGGGGTAACCTTGAGAAAATGGCTGCAGTGTGTAGACATTAGAAGCTTGTGTGTATGCAGGACATCTTAGGAGTGGCTGTAAGTTTGCACTTTTGACAACAATGAATTACTATCAGGCATGTGCCTTCCTTTGCTGGGCTAGGGGGACTCAGGACAGTCATTCCATCCCCCCCCCCGTCCGATAGCACTTAAAACAATGCCCTTTTTCCATTTACACAGTTTTCGAGCAGAAAAGTATTTAAGATGCATGCAATATTCTTCTCAGTCAGTAAGTCGAGCCTTCGCAGTGAACAACCCATTGAAGAGAGAAAACAGTGTGTTGTGGTTTTCTCCACCCATCCCCCCCCCACTGCAAATGTGTGTTTGCTGCCTATTATTGAATGCTGTTTTGTTAAATTAGGGAACAGAGAGTTTTTTATTCTTTCCCAGAAGTGCCCTTTCAAATTCTGTAATTGCATGTTCTAATCCCCAGGAAGGGAGAGAAGATCACTCGCGATTGGACTCCATGGTGCTACTCATTCTTAAACTGGACCAGCTAGATCAGGATATTGAGAACGCTCTCGGTTCAGCATCCTCGCCTTCCAGCACGCTGACACACACACGGAGGCACATACCTGTGAGCTTGCTTGTTTACTTATCTTTTATCCCAGTTGCATATTTACCTCTGCTGCTTCTTCCTCACCCTTCCCCTGAATGTGTACACACCATGCACTCAAAGTGCATGTAAAGCACATCCCCGCCAGCAAAGAAACATGGGAACTGTAGCAGATCCCTCACAGAGCTATAATTCCCAGCACCCTTAACAAAGCACAGTTCCCAGGATTCCTGAGAGAGGGGTGTGCTTCAAATGTATTTTAAATGTGTGTGCAGCCTCTCCCTCTTTTTCCTACTCTTGTTGGTCTTTCTGTTTCAGCACATGTAATTTCTCCTTTATAAAAAAATAAAAGGTGTGTATGTATGTGTGTTTGTGTGTGTCTGTGTAATGTTCCATTTCCTAGCCTCCAGCTACTCATTTATTCCTTCTTGGCCTCTCTCCACTCTGGGAGAGTTATAAGAACTACTAAAACCAAAGCAAGTGAAGGGTACAAAATTCAAAAGATATTGGACTCCCCTGTCCCCTGCCAAGCTTCTCTGTGTGTTTTTTAAAGGCAATCAGACTGGGGTTAGAGTCGTGCCAGCACAATGGGCTGATGCAATGGGTGCTGAATTTGCAAGAGAAAGTGCTGAAATGTTGTGTTTTTTATTGGGTCCACATTTCGGTAAGACCCAGCGCCCCAGGCAAGGAGGCATTTATGGGCTGCTTACAAATTCTGCCTCGGTTAAAATAATATTCTGACAACAAAGCATTGTTTGTCTTTTTTTAGATAGTTTTATGTTGTGATATTGGAAAGGATGAGGTAAAACACTATTCTGGCAATACACACAGAGACACATGCACTTTTAGGGACAAAGTCCTCTTTTTTTTTTTTTACAACTCCCCTTCATTTCAGTGATTCTGGTATGGAAAATATAGTGTTGTGTTGTGCGTTGTTCACTAAAATTGCAAACCAATGCCCACTTGGGACGCGGGTGGCACTGTGGTCTAAACCACAGAGCCTCTTGGACTTGTCGATCAGAAGGTCGGCAGTTCGAATCCCTGCGATGGAGTGAGCTCCCGTTGCTCGGTCCCTGCTCCTGCTCACCTAGCAGTTCAAAAGCACATCAAAGTGCAAGTAGATAAATAGGTACCACTCTGGCGGGAAGGTAAACGGTGTTTCCATGCGCTGCTCTGATTCGCCAGAAACGGCTTAGTCATGCTGGCCACATGACCTGGAAAAACTGTCTGTGGACAAACGCTGGCTCCCTCGGCCAGTAAAGCGAGATGAGCGCCGCAACCCCAGAGTCGTCCGCGACTGGACTTATCTGACCGGGTCCTTTACCTTTACCTTTTATGCCCACTTAATGAAGAGTAAGCCTTATTGAACTCAGTGGGACTTTTGAGTAAATGTGTATGGGACTGCCCTGCATGTTATTTTTACCCTTTATTTTGTTTATCCCTGAAATAAGCTGGATTTTCAAAAAAAAAAATCACAGTAGTGGCATGTGGTAACTGAATTTATGAGATTTGCTAAGCCACTGCTATATATAGATATATTGCAATGAGATGGGAACAAGTTGGTAGATGTACTGTGGCATTTCAGACGGCAGGTGGAAATCACCTTTTTAAAAAAATAAAAATGATGCCATTGACAGAAAATTCCTTGCAAGTAGAAAACTAGGGAGGGGGTTGGGCTAAAACTTGTCCTCCTCGTGTGCTAGGATTTTTTGCTCACTTTTTTTTCAAAATGGGTTAACAGTCAAAAAATAAACATGAAATCCGTATTTCCAGTCTAAGGTGGCAGAATCCATTCTACCGCTTCCTGCTACATTTATAGACCCATCATCAGACTTATCTGGGGCTCCTTAATAAGAATATTAGTAGCAATATTATTGTATATTATATCATTATATTATTATATTTATATTATACTAATTTGTATACTGCCCTGTATCCATATGTCTCAGGGCAGTTCACAACACAAAGTTACAATGTACGAAAAACAAAATACATAATAAAATTAATCAAAATAAAAACAATAAAAACTTTAAAATAAACAGGTGATAGACAAGCTTCGCTGAAAAACATCTTGCCTAGATCTATTGATCGTCCTCTTAATGTGCGCTCATAAACGAGAATCAGATAGGTTGTTGACTGAAGTCTCACTTTATGCTGAGCAATAGGCCTGGCCATTGTGCTATGGAAACTTCATGCTGAAATCATTTCAGCATGCAGAGGTCCTTAGGTGGACCGCTTGATGTGGAAAGGATTCTTTGAATGTGGGAAATGAAAATCAAACCAACCAACCACTGAATTATATAAAGGCAGTTTATATGCTTAGTTGTTTTCCATAGGAATTTGTTGTGCATAACTACATACTGAATTGTGGCCTCCTCTGTAAATCAAGGATGGGGAATCTGTGGCCTTCCAGGTGTTATTGGACTACAACTCCCCCCATCCCTGATCATTGGTCATGATATCCGGGGCTGATGGAAGTTTGAGTCCACACATTCCTCAGCCCCGTTGCAAATATTACAAAGAGTTTGAAGCATTGAGACATGCATAGGGGTGGGAGGGAAATTTGATTCGGTCTGCATTAATTAGTGAACCTACCTGATTCACAATTTCTGAAACAATATGCAAACCGAAACACAGATACCCTTTGAAATTCACACTTCTCTGAATTTTGCAATACAGTTCTCCAGTCAAGTAACTTGTAGAAAGGGGCATAGGGCAAAGTGTGTATTTATTAGTGAAAGCAATGTACTCAAAATGCATTTTATAAAGGAAAACTGCTTTGCAACAATGTGTCTGTTAGGCAAAAGTGTGTACAGAGGCAATTTTAGGGGAATTAGAAGAAATATGCACTAAAAAGCTGTTGGGATTTCATAAGGACATTTTATTTTTTTTAAGCAGACTGATGGAGAAATGTGAGGAACTGAACTTAAGAATGGAAAAAATAAAAATTGAGATAAACTAAAATTGACGGATTCCCCTATCGCTAGACATGTTACCAAGTTTTTGTTTACACTGTAAGTTTTAAGAAACCACAAGAGGTTTCACCTGCACAAGGGTTCAAATGATGATATCACTCCAGCTGCATAACAATTTCCACATGGTGCTGGAGGTATCAGATGCTTCCAGAGACAAAGGTGCGGACATAATCTGAGGTGTACAGGAAATACAAGGAGAAAACATGCCAGACTTCTGAAAAAACCTGGCTCCTAAACAAAGGATTTTTTTTATAAAAAACACAAAATGCCCCTTTAGGGTGTTGCAGCTTTGATCTCAAGGTATATTACAGTGTCAGGGAACAGCAGTGATTAGATCATCATTATTTCTTAGAACAAGAATGTATAGGAATGTAGAGAAAGTTGCAAACTTTTTTATAAACAACAACACCAATGTGTGATTTAATGTATTTCCTCTAGGTAATAGAATGGTAGCCACCTAAGGAATATGCACATCCCTTAAAGAGATTTGTCCTTCTTTTCTTTAAAAAGGATTTGGAATTGCATCCTGATTCTAGAGTGGACATTGCTATACTGAGCCACCAGCAAGCAAACATACCACCCCCACCCTCTCCACCTCTTCCACCGCCCTATGTTGCTGATCGAGCATTTTCCACACCAATGACTGGTTCTGGAGCTAAACCAAAGGCTGGGGTGAGTCTTAAAATTATTCTGATATGGTAGCATTGGTTTTTGTATGGGGAGAATTGGGAGAACAAGTAGCCAAGCCCTGCTGCCTTTGGAATGTGGATTGCCATCAAGATCTTACAAGGTTCAGTCACATTTGCTATTTTGCAGGGGAGAAGTTCCAGGGATGATCCCGGTGAAAGCTGAAATTGAGTGCTTCTAAGTTGGGGGGTGGTCATGGGAAGGCAACTTCCTCATTTCAGCAGTTTCATGAGATGCTCCTTGCAGTGTCTGGTCAGAGAAGACCAGAACATGAGACCTGCTGACAGAGAAGGTGGGTCTGCCAGCAGATCCTCCCAGTGGGAGTCCTCCTCCCTAGTAAGGGAGAAAAATGTTTAGCCTGCCAATTCACATGGCAGACCTAAGGTCAAACTGCATGTGATGTGAATGGCCTGTACTGTGCCTGTGTCTTTCCCCTCCCTTGCTTATAGCATTTCCGGGAGAGATTTGCATTGGAGAACTGCTGCAGGGGCAATGGGTAAAGCTTGCTGCAACCCAAATTTCTATCACGCAGAGAGCTGCTTGTAGGACTGAGGTGGGAAACCTGTGCCCCTCCAGAAATTGTTGATCTCCAGCTCCCATGACCCCAGCCAACATGGCCAATGATCAGGGATAATGAAAGCTGTAGTCCCACAACATCTGGAAGGCCACACAGTTTTGTTTTAGGAGATCAAATATGATGGGAGATCTCAAGTAGCATGCAGCTGGCCCTGGGCCAGAAATGTGTGAGCAGTTCTTCTGCTCTTTGGTCAGTGGTTCCCAACCTGTTTTTTGGCCATGCCCCACCTAAGCATCTCTGAAATCCTGATGCCCCCCAACCTGTGACATATAATTCTTATTATTCAAAAAAGTGAACTCCTGTTCATGTGGAGGAAGCCTAAAAGGCCATTAACTGTTAATAACTCATTCTCAAATTGCCCCCCCTTAAAAATTAAATTGTCCCCCTGTGGTGTGTGTGCCCCACGTTGGGAACCACGGGCCCAGGTGAAATGGAACTGAGCAGCAGTGTGACATCAAGAAGAATAGAAGGCAATGATACTTTCTCCTCTTGGAAAAGACTTGGTGGCGTTCACAGATGTGCAGTGACACTCATCCAAAATGATTCAATAGGGTTGGATGTGACCAGTTGTGTTGCTCTTCGTTCAGCCAAGGAGCGCTGGTTCCAAATGGTCTGGTTTCTGTTTAAATCCATTGGACGCATTTCCCAACACTGTCAAAACTGCATGCTTCAGCTGGCTAGCTGCGGAGGATATGTGTTGTGGAATGTTATCATGTCAAACTGAGTAGTAGAGAACAAGGTGGATTTTATGCTTTGTGTGCCAGTGGGGTATCTGTGTGGGTTACACAGGCCACAGCAAAATGTGTGACGGAGGTGAACAAGGGGCTCCCCTTTGGACTAGGAACTCAACTGTTAGCGGATGCTCCATGTGACGATTTCTTGAGTTTTCAATTCTGATATACCACTTCCTGCCTTGTAAAACGATATTTTAGGGGTAAGGATCTCTGGTGATCATGCATGATTATACTTGAATGCATGCATTAGTGGCTTTGGATTCATACATAGATAGAAGGTATATAAGAAGGTGCCTTAGACTGAGTCAGATCTTTGCTCATTCTAGACCAATACTGTCTAAACTGACTGGTAGCTGCTCTGCAGGGATTCAGACTCCCCCAGCCCTACCTGGATATATTTGGGATAGTACCTGGGACTTTGTGCATCCAAAGCAAATGCTCTACCAGCCACTGAGCTATGGATGGATTCTTGGAATTAGCATCTCAGTAATTTCCACCATTAAAGATTATGGGAACCACTGAACCTGTGGATTAATTTCAGTCAAATTCTATGTGTGGAAAGCATTTTTTTTAAAAAAAAGCTGTAGGCTGCATTGGGCACTACCTTAACTTTGTACCAAGAGTTTTATTACCTGTCAGGGGTGGCTTCTAACTGGGATATTTGGAATAAGATTACCGCAAGAGAAATCTTTCTCAGAATGTATAGTTTTGTATATCTCACTGGCCAACTTGTATTTCATATCTGCTCATTGTTGTTAGATTTTGTACAAATTCTGAAGCCAGCCAAGGATCAATAAAAATGGATAAAAATGCTTTAAAAATAATAACATTAGGAGCAGTAATGTACTAAGGTACCCAGCTAAGGATAAATTGGTTTGTATTTCCTGGGTGAAATGAGTAAGGACACTGATGTTTGTTGGATAGTGGAAGTCAAAAACTAATCAAGTCCTAAGACTCAGCAGCGTTTATTGCGGCTTTCAGTCAGAAGTGAATTCAGAGTTATAACTGTCCCAAATTACCCTCAATGTGAAATTTAAGCAGAAATATATGCGTCTCCCATAGCAAAACCCAACTGGGGAAAAATCAGGTCTACAGAATCTCGTTAGTTCAGCCCAGTAGGATGTTGTAGGCCACATCAAGCATGGGTTTCATTATTAATTAATTTGTTGCATTTATATTCTGCTTTTCTTCCATTATGGATTTTATACCTGAATGTAAACATACATAAGGATTCCAGATGGTCTCCCATCCAGGCACTGCCAGACCCATATTTAGCTTCAGCATGATTTCTGCATCATATATCTTCAAGCTGACATCCTAAGATGTCATTTGTTGGCAGAACTAGGAATGAGGAATGGAGATGAAAGTTTGAGCAAGTTTCTTAATGGAAAGTCCAAGGCTGCCCACGCTTTTTTAGTATCAAACTCCATGGTTCAGCCCATCCCTAGGCTACTTGGGCCAAAACTCATCTGCAATTTAGAATCCCAGCAGCCAAAAAACACTTGTTCCAAATGATCTGGTTTGTGTTTAAGTCAATTGGAAGTTCTTTCCACCACTATTGAAACCACTAATCTGGCATGTCTTATTTAATACCATGCAAAAGTAAGTTGAGCCAGACAATTCAGATCATGAAAAGAAACAAAAGGGGGGCTGGAAAGGGTTCATCAAAAAATTGGATGTCCATCAGTGGCTACCAGGTAAATCAAGCAGAGCATCAATGTGGAAATCTCTTAATAGCATCTCTTATTTATTGGAGTTTGTTGTCCATTGCTATCTTAAAAATAATAAAGTAAAAGTAGATGGCTACTGAGAGCTTTATTTTATATACTTTTCACTCTGGAAAGTTGGACTATGTATAATATGCCCACTTAAGATATTTTATTTCGTTCTTGTGAGCTGCTATTGTAATATTTTTGAGACCAGTGGGAGACCTTTTTTTAGAAGGGTCGGGGAATGCATTTATTAATTAATTTTATATAGAAAACAGTGGAAAGTCTCAAGTTATATGAGGGAATGGATAATTATAATACACTGTTAACTCATGGCAAACTGTAAGATAATAAAATGTGATTTGGTAAAGTGATTGATCTTACTACTTTAACTTCTGTGTATAAATCATTTTATTCAGAGTAAATATTAGGTGCCTATAGGGATGCGGGTGGCGCTGTGGGTTAAACCACAGAGCCTAGGACTTGCTGATCAGAAGGTCAGTGGTTCGAAAGCACGTCAAAGTTCAAGTAGATAAATAGGTACCGCTCTGGCGGGAAGGTAAACGGCGTTTCCGTGCGCTGCTCTGGTTCGCCAGAAGCGGCTTAGTCATGCTGGCCACATGACCCGGAAGCTGTACGTCAGCTCCCTCGGCCAATAAAGCGAGATGAGTGCCACAACCCCAGAGTCAGCCACGACTGGACGTAATGGTCAGGGGTCCCTTTACCTTTACCTTTAGGTGTGCCAAAAACAGATAGTATCAGAAATTGAAAAAATGAGAGGTATTGCATCACTAGATTCCACAATCAGTTTCTGGGCTGGGTGTTCCTCCTCCTGAGCAGCTGATAGACCTGGTCCGTGTTGACACATACAAGGGCCACATCTGCACCAAACATTTAGAGCACCATTATACAACTTTGAGTCATGGATTCCACCAAAGAATCCTGGGAACAGTGGTTTGTTAAGGGTGTTGAGAGTTGTTAAGAGACCCCTATTCCCCTCACAGAGCTACAATTTCCAGAGTGGTTTAGAAATAAATCCCTCTTTCCAGGAAACTCTGGTAATTGTAATTCTGTGAGGAAATAGGGGTCTCCTGAGAACCCACAGCACTATGATGGAGGAGGTGTTGCCAGAATTCTCTTGGGTGATAATTTGACTTGATATCCCAACCAACAGACCAATTTTCTGTTCCATTTATACAGAGGCTGTGTGTTTGTGTCTTTAAGTACATTTAATCTGTTTTCTGTTCATAGTTCAGTGCATTCTTGTTGAAGTGAGGATACATACATGCATGTACAGCAGATTAAGAGCATAGCAGAGGGTGTGAATCCATTTCATTGTGGCTGAGGTGATGAAAAAAATGAAAGCATTCACTCTGTGAAGGCTCATTCATATGTGAATGTAATTCTGATGTGTTGCATCTTGAAGCTAAGGAGGTATTTCACTGTGGCTGCAAAAGAGGCGCACCACAACATGGCTGCTTGGTGTGGAATGTGCTTTGGGGGTCATCTGTAAGTTATTGATTTCATCAGTTCAGGCTTTTATTTGCCAGCCTCTGACACAGACGCTGATTTCTAAACTTTTAACTATACATTTGGCAATAGTAAGCCACAGAGGAATGTAAATCAGTCTGAAAACACAACAGTCAGCAGTCCTTTCCCCCAGTAAGTATGAGAAACATGAAGAAAACTAAGCTAACAAGGAGAAAGGGGAAGGAGTTAAGTATGCCAGATGTCACTGTCTGCTGGAGAAACTGATGTCACCCTCATCTGGGGGCAACCTCCATAGCTGTCTACTGCATCCAGCAAAATGTAAAATGTCCATGTGACAGTCAATCTGCAGTTTAAAATCTTGTAACTGAGTATTTAGGGAGTAGCAACAAGCAGGAATCCTCCAAGCCCACCACAAAATACTTGTCTTTGACTTTTGCAATGGAAATTGGCTGAGATTTGTATACAGCTGTGGAGAGAGGCAGGGAAGACAAGTACTGGCAATGGAAGTGAAAGGCTGTCCATTTTCTGTATTAATTTAATGACATAAAGAAGCATTCTGTATTTAAAGGATATATAATTACAATTGTATATTCCAATCCTCCCATATCTGTCTGTTGATAGCATTTGCCCAATTCATGGCTCAGCGTTCTTAAAATAACAAACAGCCTTGTTCGACAAGCCCATTCCTACAGTTGTATATCTGAAATATACTCGGAGTCCTGTAGTGATTTCATGCTCTTTATTGCAGCTTGTAAACCCCCCAAACCTCAGGCTTTTATATATATTATTTATACAATGAGTCCCGTCTGATTGGCTGATGCAGCTTCCCTCCTGGAGCCTGATTGGTCTTTTCCTGCAGGCCAATCAGTTGTTGCATTCTACGATCCTACCAGCCTAATAGGCTGATTAACTTCCTCCTGGAGCCTGATTGGTCTTTTCCTGCAAGCCAATCAGTTGTTGCATTCTAGGATCCTACTTGCCTATTGTTCTAGCATCCAAACTTAGTACATAACACCCCTCCCCTCTAAGTTCCCATTGCACCCAGAAGGTGAGCATTCATAGTTGTTGAGGTATCCCAGTTGCCTACGTATGTGTTGTGGTCTCGGGTGTCTCTCGGTAGAGGTTCCTGGTTCTGGCTCTTGTTCCGGGGGTGCCAGCTGTGACGGGGCCATTGGGTTGGGCGCCGCTGGTCCACTCGGTCGTGGTTCTGGTTCCTGTGGCTGCTCGGACTTCCCAGTTCTGCCTCCCTTACCTGCTCCTCCTGCTCTATGGGCCTCACCCTTCTGCTATCCCCTTGGGATTCCTCTGTCCAGCCCTCTTCGCAGTTTCCCCCTGGGAGTCGTTGCCATAGTTGATTGCAGTGGCGGCGCCAGGCTTGGCCCCCCCTCCGTTAGCACCTCATATGACACGGGGCCAGTTGCCCTGGTGACTGTGGCGGGTACCCATGCCAGGCCTGCCCTGAAGTTCTTTGCGTACACTGGGGCGTGGGGCTGGAAGGTCCGGGGGTTCCTACCTTCCCCCACTGCTGCCTCATCATGGGCCCTGTTGGGGTGAAGGTGGCCCAGTCTTGTTGTGAGACGCCGGCCCATGAGTAGTTCCACTGGGCTCCAGCTGGTTGTTGTGCTGGGGGTGCTATGCTGGGCTGGGAGAAATGCAGCGAGGCGGTACTCCCAGTCTCCTTGCATCATGCGGCGGAGGGCACATGACAATATCTTTAAGAAATTTAGGACCTTTGGTAAGTTTGTTATCATTAATCTCTGCATCAGAGAACTCAATGCCATTTCTTTCAACTAGCAACTGAGGTGTTGATGAAGAAGCTCAACATAAACATGGGCCAGGAATCCTTTCAATTTAAAAACAACACTTTAGATTGCTTCCATGGGGACAGAATGCAGGAGGCGATATCAGCCCTGAGTTCCTGCTGCAGGAGGGCACTGCAAGACTCATAGCTGACTGCTGAGACTTTTGCCCTAGTTCAGGCAATCACATGGCATTTTGAGGGAGAGAACCTTTGCAGGTGGGGGGGGGACTTAAATATTCTCAGACTGACTTGCCTTCCAAAGCAATGCATGTTTGCACAATTATGTTGCTACCTGTTAAAGGTATTTGATGTAGTCCAGCTGCAGTTAAACACTGTGAAGCTGAGTTGATTTCAGTGGGGAAAATTACAATGGACAATTACATCACTGCCACTGTTGGTGTGTGTGTGAGTGTGTGTGCATATGAGTTTGTTTGCTTGTTTTTGCTAGGTGCTACTGTAATGCAAAAAGCTTTAAAAATTGTGTATATGATGCATACATGATTTGAATGTATGCATAACTGTTATTGCATTAAGCAAGGTCATCTTTCTCCACCAACAAATATTAGGGTGCTTTCTGCAACAGATTTTCTTTGTCCCACATATTTTCTGTGAATTTTGTGCTATAAATCTGAAACATCAATATGGATCTGAAGAATTAAAACATCAGATGAAATACACACAATAACAATACAGTAATATAGCAGCAAGCATTAATATACAACTGAAATGTCTCATCAGCTCTCCACAAAAGCCTGGGCAAAGGTAGCACACACCCCCCCCAAAAAAAAAACCCCAGCCAAATAATGTCAGCACCAGCAATATCTCAGGGACAAGGGAATTCCACAACTCCAAAAAAAAGACTATATTCTCTGTCATCATACTGTAGGTTTTCCCTGGCAGTGGGATGGCAAGAAAGACTCTCTTGCAGATCTCAATGCATGGGCAGGCTGATATGGCAAGTGTTGCTCTTTCAGATAACTGGGTCCCCAGTTATTTAAGGCTTGGTAGCACATACAACACCAACAGTTTGGCCAAACAAATGTTCAGTGGATTTTATAATGCAAATCAGACCAATCTTTATTTAGTTATGTTACTGATATATTCCTTTACCTTTCAGAAAGTCTTATAGGGAAGCTTAGAAAAATATATTAAAACACTAAAAATATCAGTGACAATAAAATCAGCAATGAATCTTCGCAGCAAAAAGGATTTATAAAAGCAAGTCAGCATCTACAGATTTTCATTTTAAAAGATGAATGAATCAGCCAACCCAAAGCACCTAGCAGATTAACCTCAAAGATCTTTCCCACTGCAAAAACTCCTCCCAAATTTGGAAAAGACTGCCAGCTGCAGATGCATCTGTCATCATTCATATGACACAAAACGCAGCATCTACCCCCTGGTCTGTTGCTACACTCTGAGCTACACTCAGTGGCGGAGAACACGCTTCACATGTAGAAATTCCCAGGTCCCATCCCTGCCATCTTCAGGGAGGGCTTAGGAAAAGACTCCTGAGAGCAACTGTCAGTTGGAATCAACAGTGCTAAGCATGATAGACCAAAGGCAGCTGGCTTCCTGTGTTCCTATCTGTGGCAGAAATGCAACCTGGTTGGCCATAGCCATCTGTTGGGACCAGTACCGGATTTTGCATTATGTTTCTTGACACAGCTGCAAATGTGTTTCAGGGCCTCTCGCTTTTCTTGGTATGGTACTCCATTGCTATCCACCTGGGACTTCTGGGAAATTACAAGGCAACTTTGGTTTGGCACACACACACACACACACTAAACTTGCTCTTAACTCCATGTACCAATCAGATCAAGAACCTCATTTGGTATCCATCTCATACTAATAGATCATTTAGAAAAATAAGGAGAGGAAGATAAAGTCCCGCCCAGAGACGAATGGTTGATGAAGATGATGGACTACGCCGAAATGGTGAAAATGACCAGGAAAATCAGAAACTAGGAAGACAGAAACTTAATAAGGAATGGAAAAAAATGGAGAATTTACTTAAGATAACACTGTAAACAACTAAAAACTTTGGCAGGATTTGAGCAATGTTTGTAATGTATTAAAAACTAAGGTAAAAATGGATTACCTTAAGAATAATAGAGTGAATATATGATGCAGTAGAAAAAGTTTGATAATGGAAACCATGGAGAGGTGGAGGGAAGTATAAGGATTCAGGGAATCCTAAATGTTGATGGTTATGATTAATGTTTGAGTTCAAATGTATAGTGTAAAATTGAATAAAAAAGATTTTTAAAAAATAGTAGAAAAATAAAGAGAGCACTGGACCAAAATACTTTTCAGATGGGCGAAAGCTGCTGAACCCCGAAAAGAGCAGAAACAAACATTTGAAAATGATGAGTGAAGTAAAGGAAGTGACTGCGCAATGGAACACAGAAGAACATAGCATTGATTAATTCACCTGAGAAGGACACCCTGGTTGGTGTCAGGTGCTGCTGGAATCTATGCCCCATGTGGTGAACCACTGAACTGCAGGAAGAAGCCATCTCAGTGAAGAATCATTTAGATTTACTCTGCCCACCAAGGCTGACCACCAAAACTTTCTGGGCAAAAAGGAATACAGTTAGCTCCCTTATCCAGTTGGGCCTTGCTCGAACAGCAAGGTCTTCCTAAACTCTGGTACGTTGCTGACTCCTGACTTGTTCTTCCTTTGTTCTTTAGTTCTGACTCTTGGCTTATTTCTGGTTTGTCCTTTGGTCCTTCCTTGCTCATCAGTTGTGACCACTAGCCTGCATCACACCTCCTGGTTCCAAGTCCAAGCTCATCTTGGACTCAGCCCCAAGAAACAGGGAGATAATGTGGAGCAGGAAGGAGAGGTGGGCACAGTACCTTGGAGGTGTCCCCTGAATAGGTGCAATGAAACTGAAACCTGGATAAGCTCATTCTTTGGATGATTGTACCACTAAAGAGAATAGTACACCTGTATTGCTATGGTGACAGAATATTCAAACCATGCCAATTTCAAACATAACATGGTATGCTTGTATACAGCCTGTGAGTATTGCATACAGAAAAGCACGTCAGAAAGGAAGTGTCTTTGCAGCCATTTCAGCTGAGATGTACATGGACACTTATGAAACTTAAAATATTGGCTTAGTAGGACCACTCTGCATTCTTTTTTTTTTAAATGATATTTATTAGAAGTTTAAAGATTACAGAAAAAAGAGAAGAGGAAAATAATAAGAAATTTAACAGAACATACATTACAATAAATAAAAAGAAAGACATAAAAAAAAATACAACAATGCAGGGGAAAAAAACACTAAAACACATACAATATTCCATATCTTTACCTTTCATTTACTTGTTTCATCGACCTCCTCACACCTCCCTTTTTTGTATTCTAGTTCAATTCACTATTTCAGCAAATTCTTTCCATCTTTCTCAATTTTTGTTCTATAATTTATCTTAACGCTCTAACCTTAAATTTTTTCATTTTAGCCCGTTATCAATCAGCTTTTACTTAATTCTTTATTACATTTCTGCTAAAACTATATAGCTTCATTCCAGCATCCTTCTAACATTCATTGATTTTGCAATGTTTTTGTAAATATACTTTAAATTATACTTTAAAGTATATTTAAAGGACCACTCTGCATTCTAACCGTAGCATATAGTCTAGCTTTCTGTTGGGTTCAGTTAACTCACTGAATGCTGCCATCTACTGCTTGCATCAAGAAAATCTATGGTGTGCAAGATACAAAAGCAGACAGAAAGGATGAAGGATGTTAAGGATCCCATTTCAAAGTCTGTTTTAATCATTTTCTTAATAAACCACACATCCCTGTGCATGTTTAATTGGAAGTAAGTCCTAATAAGTTCAGTGGGGGTTACTCTCAGGAAAGCATTCATCAGATTACAGCCTCTCTTAGTAAAGTTAATTGGTCAGACAATGACTAGAATTAGTGGGCAAATACCCATTAAAATATGCTTAGAAACTGAGAAAATATGCTTAGAAAACTACAGGAAAGCAGAAAGAGTTAAGTGAATGTCTATGGAACAATTTTCTGTTTCCCCTCCAGTTAAGGGTGATTGATATTACATGCAAAAGTAAACTGAATAGCTTCGTTCTCTTCCTGTACTCAGCAGAATCTCCAAGTTAATTATTATGTATAACAATTCATTTAACCTTTTTATTCATGTGTTTATAATACATTGGTTGGACTTCATTTGTTTCCAGTTGACAAAATACATAATAGAAATAATCGGTTATGTCCAGTTAAATTATGCTCAGAGTAACCTCGTTGAAATTAATGGATCTAGGTTAGTCATGTCCATAATTTTCAATGAGTCTTCTCTGACCCATTCACTTCAGATAGTTCTAAATAGGAAATAAGAGGTATAGTTGGCAGTGACATTGTCACAATAGTAAGCAAAATACACACACACACCCCTCCAAAGGTCTTATGTGCTGGTTCACAGATGTGTTTCATCTGGTCAAACAATGAAATAAAGCACCGCCAAAATTTTCATTCAAAGTTAAGCAATTTCTTTTTGAATAAATAAAATTTTTGATTGCTTCCTTCTGCTTTGAATTAGGGTCATCCCTTCATAAGAAACAGGTGGCAGGATTGTCTGCCATTCAAGTTTCTGTAGGTTGTTTGATGAATAAAATCTAGCTAGAAAAGGCAGCTTGGCACTGCAAAATGTCAGCAGAAGTTTTATTTCCCAAAACTGAACAAGTAGTGGTCTGTATTTCATTTAAGCATCTAGAATCTTTTTAAAAAAAATATTGAGGCAGATAAATGACTTGCTATCCATATGACAGCTTTAATAACTCTACTGATGTTGTGTGGAAGTTTTTGATGCTACAAAATTAACCCATGAATTACGGCAGATTTGGGGGACCTGTGGTCTCCAGATGTTATTTAGTGCACTATATCTGCAAGCCCTGACTGTTAGCATGCAATCTAGGGCAGATGAGAGTCCAACCACATCTGGAGGGCCACAAGTTCCCCACTCTTAAATTCAAGAATCAACAAGTGGTACAGTTGAGTCTAGCCACCACACTAAGCTTGGCCATCCCTGCTGCACAACATTCAGAATTTGATGGTGGTGAACACAGCGTATATAAAACCATGTATCTAAGATCCAAAGAATTTAAGGCATGGATAATAAAATATACTTTAGCTGCTATCCTAACCCCACTTACCCAATGAAATCAATATGGCTTATGTCTGAGTAGACATGGTTAGGATTTCACTGTTGGTCTGCCAAGCACCAAGAAAGCTTCTTAGATGCTTGAGGTTATTATTTGTCCTGGCAAACTGTATTACTTGCAACACAGCACTGTGGCATCAATGTGATAAGCAGTCATGGCCCCAAAATAAATATCCAGGCTTCTATAACAAACTCAGGCCCTGATCAGGCATGCCCTCCATGAGTTCTCTGCATGTAGGAAGGGGAAAGTGGTGACATGTGTAACAGTTCCTTCCACCTTCACACCAGTCTCTGCACATAGAGCACAAAGATCAAAAGGGGGGATATTTGAATAATCAGCTGAATGCACTTAGAGCCCTACACATAAGCAGGAACCCTGTATCAGTAGGCTCTCATTCACATGGAAGCTTCTGAGTGTGTGGTCAAAGATTTCCTCTTCAGGTCTTATCACTCAAAGCCTGAAGGTCAGTCGTGGAGCCAGCAAGGATGCGGACCAGGTGGGGTGCACTAGCACTTGCAAACCCTCCCTCCATACATTCCGAGAACTTATGAAAGAAACGCCTGAGTGTGCTTGACCAAAAATATTGCACGAGCCTTGGGTCCTCTAATAGCTTTCGCTTTCTTGACTCCTAATGCGTTCCCAGCTTCCAATCTCAAGTCTCTGCGGGTGTTATTAGTCTGAAATCAGATCTGTCAGATTAATTTAGAATTCAATATCTTTACTAAGTTTCAGGTGTCAGAGAATATAATAAAACAGGAAAGAAAGCCCAAGCTTTTCAACAGTTTAGAGAGAATGATTAATCTTAAATGAGGAAGGGCAGTAGTGTGATGAAATTGACATGAAGAAATAAGTCGGATGGCTAAAAGGGGAGGGAAATCATAGCAAGGCAAATGTCGTTATATCAGCAGTCCAGATTTATTTATTTTATTTGTGTTCCGTCTTTCTTTCCATCATGGATCTTGTGGTGTACATGGGATTCCCTGACTGTCTCCCATCCAGGCTCAGACCTGAGAACCACTTAGTGTCAGTGCGAATGCTGAATCTGTTCAATAAGAGAGAAGTTTCCTCTCTCTCTATATATATACATAAAGTTTAAGAAATATGTTGCTCTTCATTGGCCAGAACTAAGAAAAAGTATTATTATTGCCAGTCCTAGCAGCAAACTTTACTCCAGAGATTCAGTTCATATGGCCACTGGTGTTGGGATACCGGCCACACCTCAGAGGAGTGGACAGGTTGGGAGGTACTAGAACCTGGAAGCTTGAGGGATAGCAAAGAGGCAGAAGCAGGCAAGTGGTCCAGCACCAGGCAGGGTGATGAGGTTTCCAGTTTGGATGCAGGCTCTGATGGAGATAACAGAGGGGAGTCAAACCCTGCAGCTGTCCCACAGATTCACCCTGACAGCTTCTCTGCTGGTGGCTCTCTGGCCCTACTTCTTATCCTGATGTTGCACTTGGCATCACTGTCCATCCCAGCATCAGATACTTCATTGCATGTGAGGCGCAGCCTAGGAAATTTGAGAAGACATCCAGATTTGCAGCCGAACCCACCAGGTTCAAGCAAATCCAGCTTCTGCTCTGGTTTGAGTCCAGTACAGGCAGAGCCACAAATATGCTGCTAGGCTCTGCCTTTAGTGGAATTTGGTGGCATATCTAACAATTTCCTGATACATTTACCTCCAGGCAGACTGTTACCCACAGCAGAGAACATAATTGAGTTTAGGGGGAAGTTTACAAAAGCACTGCTATGGTTTGGAGAACACGATCTTACAGACTTTCAGTATGAGTTATTCCAAATTTTCATTGATGCTGAGGTTTCCCTTCCTAAGATAATGAAGAAAAAAATTACAGTCACTATGCCGCAATTCAGCAAGACTGAAATCTGGTCTGATTAACATAAGGCAATGAGAAGAAATCCAGAATTATCCAAGTGACACTGGACACATCAGCCAAGAGTTTTTTGGGCAATCTTCAAATGTCAGATTAGCCAAATTCATCTTGAAACATTATTCCAACATGTTTGATCATTCCCATAGACCTCCATGAATGACAACACAAAGCCACTTACATGTTAACTACAGAATAATCCACTTTTTAATCCTGTTCAGCCATGCTGAATACAATAGCCGAGGAAAGTTCACCCAACCCCCACCCCTGTTCACATGAATCACAAAGTGATGCATACTAATGAGCTCTGGAAATTGGCTTCATTAGCTTAATAAATTCTTCCATCTACCTGCCAAAGTTTGACAACAAAACTTCAATTGATATGGACTGCAAAGTATTTTAGATGAGGAAATGGAAAATTCTGTCATTCTAAGAACATTGCCAGGTTCAGATCTGCTGTGAGCGTCAACACTGGAAAATCCTATCAATGTTGCAAATATATCCATCTCTCAAAAGAAAAATTGAACATTGAAATTACATATGCATGCATGGGGTTTTTGATGGATTGCTATTGGGAGTTAAGAAAGTTGCATCTGTACACAGTGTGTGAATTTGTTGCTATGTTTAATTCCTAAAGTTATTCTTCATAAGGTATGTATGGGGAAGGTATGCATGCAGAACGTCCAGGCGTCTCCAGAAAGAAGAATCAGTGCAGACTGTAGACAATACTGAGCTAGATGGACAAATTGGTCTGATTCAAAATAAAGCAGCTTCCCATATTCCAAAATCTGTGTCCTGAGAAAGCTGCACAGTAATATGCAGAGTGTGGGGAAATAAGCATGCCTGGAAATTCAGAAGTGAGCAGTTATTATATTGTGACACATGCTGGTGGTACTGTACATTTCTGATTCCACAGCTTGGTTCCATTTCTTATTCCAGGGTTTGGTTCCAGATGCTAAAATGTCAATACATTCACAAAACGCCCAACTCAGAATGGGTTTCCATTCATTTCAAATTAGGAGGTGGTTGTCACATGGCTTCTCTTGCACCGAATAATTGAGAACCCCACATGTGCAAACAATCTAGGCGTGCATGAGAAGCACATGGATAGGGGAGCTGGTTTCTCATTGTTTTAGAGGTTACCATAATTTTCGGATCTTTGCAAACTTGTTCTGCGAATTACTGTGTTACTTAACCACCGAACGTGAAGAAACTTGCAAAAGAGTGTTCTTACATATATTTCTGGCAGCCATTGTACATTTTTCTTTGTAGCCACTGGTGTAAAGGCTGTCCTTGCCGAAGACGTGTGTATTAAAATATATATATATACAATCCACCGGATACACATCAGTGAATAAAATATTCTTGACATAAAACTCACAGTTGGGCAAATAAAAAAACAGCAAACTGGGTGGCCAGAGTCAGGCAAGCTGGCTGAGGTCTGCGAGTCTAGAACCTAATACTCTAATAACACTAGTAAAAGGTAAAGGTAAAGGGACCCCTGACCATTAGGTCCAGTCGTGGCCAACTCTGGGGTTGCGACACTCATCTCACTTTACTGGCTGAGGGAGCCGGCATACAGCTTCTGGGTCATGTGGTCAGCATGACTAAGCCGCTTCTGGCGAACCAGAGCAGCGAACCAGAAATGCCATTTACCTTCCCGCCGGAGCGGTACCTATTTATCTACTTGCACTTTGACGTGCTTTTGAACTGCTAGGTTGGCAGGAGCTGGGACTGAGCAACGGGAGCTCACCCTGTTGTGGGGATTCAAACGCCGAACTTCTGATCAGCAAGCCCTGGGCTCTGTGGTTTAACCCACAGCGCCACCCGCATCCCTAATAACACTAGTACATATCATCAAAAGGTCGAGCTTTCATACAAATTGTAGGAACATTGGAAGCTGCCTTATACTGACTCAGATCATTGGTCCATCCAGTTCCTTTTTTTTTAAGAATAATTTTTTATTAACCAACCAATCACATCAAATCAAACCAAATTTCATAAATTCCAAATTACACAGCCGAATTTTAAATTTTTGTTGGGGGTACCCATATTTCAAGTTCCGAAGGGGATCCAATCAACTTCTTGCTTCTTACTGCTGTTTTAATATCCATAAATCTAACCTTATGATGTTCACAGTACTATGCAGTCCTTTCTTATTGTTTTTCCACATCTCTTGTTGTTATTTTCATATATTTTTCCTTTCTTTTTGTGACCTCTGATAGTCTCCGCAAGCTGGTTAGAACAGTTTGTAATCCTGCGTGGATATTATTTTTTTTATCCAGTAGCCATATCCAGACGTTTTCCATATAACATCACTTCCATACATCAAAACAGTCTTAGCGTCATTAATCTTCACCAATCTGCCTCCTTTCTCAAAACCTCTGAGGAGATTCACTAGGAATGCAGTCTGAAAACAAGTCCGTTCTTCCTCCCGGCTATAAATCCTTTGGCAAGATGGCGACTCCAAATTAATTGCTGCGCCATTCCCAAAAGCTCTTATTGCTTCTCGATCTCCATAAAGCATACTTTTGGTTAAAGTTTATCTCCACACAGACCTTAATCATCCTGCTTGGGTCAGTTCAACCGACGATTCTAATGAGGAGGGGTTCTTGTAAATCACATAGAAGGAAAGTAAAAAAGGTTCCCCCCCCCATTCAGTCCCATTGTCAACATACCCAGCCTTTGGTGTATCTTCATCGTAAAATATTCCTGTTTCTCCAACCCGTCGTCTTCTTTCGCAGAGGTCACTTAAATTAGCAGACTTCACTCCCTTCTTCACTTGAAATATGTGCATTTGCTTCTTTTGTAATTAATTATTCCAAATTGCTGCAACTAGTGCGCGATCAGAGACAGCGTCCAGGAGAGCCGAGGTCCACACAGGGGCATTCTGCCTAGGGCCCTCACCCCCTTCTTTCAAATTAGGAGGTTATTTATGGGCACAGCAGGCAAGGGCAGTGTTCCCCATTTCCTTGGGGCAACAAGGGAGGCTGCCTACTCCCATAACAGCCTCTTAATTACCCCGTGTGGGTCGGAGAGATGGTATTGTCGGCCATCATCCAATGCGCCCCCTAGTGCCCCCCCCATTGGTCCATCCAGTTCCATCCTGACGACACTGGCAGCGGCTCTCCAGGGTTTTGAGTTCCAGGTTTCTCTCCCAGTCCTCTGGAGATGGCACGAACTGAACCTGGGACTTTCTGCATGCAAAGCAGATGGTCTGCCTCTAAGCTACATCCCTTCCTCGTAGTCAAAAAGAGAACTGGGAAGAGTTAATTTGCCAATGCTTCTAAATGTCTTTCCAGTCTGTTCCTAGGCTGTGCAAGTGAATCAGAGTTGGTGCGCTGTGCATCTTTGCCACACACAGCCAGGCCACATTCTTTCTTCGCAAGGCGAGCTAGCCGTTCGGTGCCAGCTATGAGTGAGGTTCGTTATGATGAACCTTAGCAACTGCAAAAGTGACGTGTTGTTTCAGCGTGTGTGGGGAAAACCTACTGAAAAGGATAGGTGTTTAGGAAACAAGCCATTTTTTAAAAAAAGAGAGAGAGAGAGAGAAATAGGTAGGGTCATTCCAGAAAAGATATGGTGACAAGGACAATTTTTTTCTGGATGTCTAGTGACTTTTCCAGCTTCCTTTCCCCTGCCTCGTTCAGAATCTCATCAGATTCCACAGTTCAAATTTGACAGAATCTGGAACATTCCATTGGCTCCAGGGTGATTACTCCTCAGTACAGTAGGCCTTAGCATATACATACGGATAGGTCTCGACAGTGGTACCTCAGTCTACAAACAGACCAGTTAACAAACTATTCGGTATATGAACTACGCAAAACCGGAAGTAGTGTTCTGGTTAGCGAAATTTACCTCAGTCTACGAACAGAAGCTGAATGGTGGAAGGGCACCAGCGACGGGAGGCCTCATTAGGGAAAGCGCGCCTCAGTTTCAGAACGGCTTTGGATTAAGAACAGACTTCCAGAATGGATTAAAACAAAGTTTTAGGTGGCTAATTGCCTACAGTTATGTCCTGAATATGAAGACGCTTTACATAGGTGTGTAAGTATTCTGACCCCTCCCCCCCTTTTTCTTCTGCTATTACAGAGGATATTGATTCAGATTGATCGGAAATGTTAAACGGCAGAGCCAGCAAGACTTTGCTGCGTCACTGAAGGTTCTGGGGATGCTCTGGAGCCGTGTCAAGCTGAGATGATTGTTGCTTCCGTTCAAGACAGCAGGGCTGTCAGCTCCTTAAGAAAGCACCTGAACTTTTGCTCCCTATTTAGTCTAGGTAGCTTAACGTCTTCCAGTCCTTCCTTATGCCTTGCCGAATAGCCTTGTCTGGGTTCTGCTCTGCAGTTGTGCTGGAAAATGTCCCTGGACACCTTTCAAATATTTATGAAATGTATAGCTATTCTTCCCTATAGGCTTGAGACAGCACATTTTCGCTCCGACAGACAGATGCAAGCATAACAGTTCTCCTCTGGGGCGACTCCCACAACCACATTATTCTCGGCTATTACCACTTTGTATTAACCCCTGCCCCACCCTATCTCTCACTCACCCACCCACCCATATGCATGCTGCTCTACAGAATAATAATAATAATAATAATAATAATAATAATAATGCCTGTTCTGGCATCCATAAGGGAGCGGTGGATCCAACTGAACAGGTTGAGAAGGCATGGACAGCTGTTTTGTGCATGAAGAAGCATGTACATTGGAGCATCCTAGATCAATGTCTCTTCTCTAGGAGGAGAGATGTTGAGCCTTCCAGGATCCATGACCAACCAGGCAGAAGTAGGAAAGACAGGACTAGATCACCTGGGACATGTTTCTCAACCCTTGGAAAAAGAGTTTCCCCTCTTGCTTCTGTATATAGAACTCTCCAGATGTTTCTGGACTCCACCTTCTACCATCTTTGACCACTGGCCACGCTGGCTGGAGTTGAGGAAGTCCAACATCACCTGTGGGTGCAGAAATTTCCCACCCCTGCTCTAGATCACCAAAGCAGCATTCCTCATTATGGGCTGAGCCAGTGGCCCATGTTTACTTGGGCAAGTTAGAGAATATCTGAGAGGAATTGTCCGGAAGAGAGACCATTCTGGTTGCTCCATGTAAGAAACAAACCTTTCTACTTTGTGCAACATTCGATCATGGTGAGCTGTAGACTCATCCACTCCTGCCTACCTTTCTGATCTTATGGTGTTAACAGTGGGATTGTGGTGGTTTCTTCAAGGAAATGGTTGCAATATGTGTGGCAATTTCTGTTGGGATCAGAGGAAATGGAAAGCAAATGATAAATTTGAGTACAACCTTTATTCTGTGATGTGATATTGCTCTAGCACATGGTTGTACCATCGCAGATTTCAGGTGTGTGTGCACCCCCTAACATTTTGACCTATCTAGGAGAAAACTGGAATAGAAACCTCCTCTCTGGTAGGTAAGCTTTTAATGTGAAGCATTATTTGGATGTACTTGACACACACACACACATTTCTGAAAGCTGAGCTGGACTTTACTATGTCAGACAATTGGCCTTTGCATTGCTTCTCTTAACTCAATTCCCTCCATAGGCTTTGGACTACAACCCCTATCAGCCAGAAAGCATGGGCAATGGTCAGATATTATTGGAGTCCAAAACATTTGGAGGGCACCCGGTTGGAGACGGTTGCCCTAGAGAATGGTTCTGGGTGTTGATTTTTCTTTCCTAGTGTCTGAATTGGCCTTCAGATAACAAATTCTTATCTGAGTGGTTGTTAAGGTTGCTTTTCTTTCCTATCCTTTAGGCATACACTGGGGTGTGAAATTGTGAAGATGCAGGATATTCAGTGTGGAAGAAGACTCAGAGGTCATTGAAAACGGCTGAAATGTTACTTGGGATTTCACAATCCTTGTTAAATCACAGGATTAGTACCAAAGGCAACATAGCTACAGGGACCAAGTAGGAATGTCCTAGAGATTGTAGAACAATTGCTTTGGGTTTAGCTTGGTTGATCTTTAATTTCTCCAGACCATCTCCTGCTGAATGCTGCACAATGCTACTCTGATCAGATTGTACAAAGTTATCCTAGATTCATAAATATTGTTGTTGAATGTGGTTTTCATAATATTCATATGACTACCATCCAATAATTCATGATGGCAGACAACAATGTATCAATTATTTTAGCTATGCATTGTAGGAAGCTAGGGACGCGGGTGGCGCTGTGGTCTAAACTACTGAGCCTCTTGAGCTTGCTGATCAGAAGGTTGGTGGTTCAAATCCATGCAATGGTGGTGAGCTCCCTTTGCTCTGTCCCAGTTCCTGCCAACCTAACAGTTTGAAAGCACATCAGTGCAAGTAGATAAATAGGTACCGCTGTGGCAGGAAGGTAAATGGTGTTTCCATGCGCTCTGGCAATCATCATAGTGTCCCGTCGTGTCAGAAGCAGTTTAGTCCTGCTGGCCACATAACCTGGGAAGCCGTCTGTAGACAAATGCTGGCTCCCTTGGCCTAAAAAGTAAGATGAGTGCCACACCCCATAGTCGCCTTTGACTGAACTTAACCATCCAGGAGTCCTTTACCTTTTACCTTTTTTACTTGTAGGAAGCTACTCATCTTTCTCATCTGTCCTCAGCTAATATGATCTGTAAAACAATTTGAACAGCAACAAGTGTGTGTGTGTGTGTGTGTGTGTGTGTGTGTGTGTGTGTGGCATAATGATGATGTTGGTATGGGAGCTATGTCTCCATTGGTGGTCCCAGTTTCTTGGGGGTTTGTTTCTCCCCAAATAGGGGTGGACAGATACCGATATATCAATTTTGGTTTCTCTCAGTTTCTCATTTGTCTAGTTTTGTCCATGACATTTCTGTATCAGCCTTTTAGTACACCTTTTCCCTAATATACGCATTTCTGAACACAATTCTGCCTGATATAATGTATTCTGTTTGCTATTTACACCAATAGGTACATTTTATGCACACCTCCCCCTAGTGTATGGATTTTTGTATGCATTTTTGGGTTAGAGAACTGCATCACAAAATTAAAAGAGATTCACATCTTGATGGGTAGCTGGAGGATGATTTTCATATTGCTTTGGAAATTGTGGCTTTTGCATTTTCTCCCCCATCCTCATCCCCCAAATGACTTGCTGATTGCAATCCAGTCCCTAACCAGAGCCAGTATGGTGTAGTGGTTAAGAGCGGTAGTCTTGTAATCTGGGGAACCGGGTTCGCGTCTCCGCTCCTCCACATGCAGCTGCTGGGTGACCTTGGGCCAGTCACACTTCTTTGAAGTCTCTCAGCCCCACTCACCTCACAGAGTGTTTGTTGTGGGGGAGGAACGGAAAGGAGGATGTTAGCCGCTTTGAGACTCCTGAAGGGGAGTGAAAGGTGGGATATCAAATCCAAACTCTTCTTCTTCTTCTTCTAACCAACCTGAAGAACAGCTAGGAACCAATGAAAACCCGAGCCTGTTCTTGTTTGCATAGCAACAGCTTAAATTCTATTGTGATTGTGCTTCTGATAGGACCCAGAAACTAGGCTGGCTTATCTTGGCATCCCCAAGGCCAAACAAATTCAGCAGATGAGCTCCACTGAGCTTCTGTTCACACCAAGCCCATCTGCCTATCCAAATGCAACCAGTTTATTGGTATATTCAGACACAAGCTTTTTTGTTAAAGTTTGTCATCTTTACTTGTTAGCAGGTTTCAGCAATGAACTTGCATCAGTGTGATTTTTCCATTGCAATGTCCTGCAAAACCACTTTTCAAGGCAATTGCACCATGATTATGGTGGCGTGATTATTATGGCATGATTATGATGTATCTGATTACTGTTCTCTCTTCCCCCTCTTGGCCATTAACACTAATTCAGTGCTTATTTCTCACAAAAAAGGGGGGCTGTCAGTGGTTCCACACTCTGCTTACCACCTTATTTGTGATGTTTGCCATGGATGTGGTCTGCTGGCATTCTGGACTATCTAGATTCCTCCACAGCCTCCATTCTGCTTAAAATAAATTGTGAGAAGCATCACAGCATTGTTTGAAAGCAGCTGGAAGAAAGGAAAGGGGGAGAAGGATGAACTAAACCACTGTCTGATTGCACTCTAAATTGTTCTCATTTATGAAGCCACTGCAGAAGTCTGATAAATGTAACAGGTTTCAGTCATATACTGCCTCCCCATAATTTTCAGTGTGACTGGGCTTTTTCAACACCAAGGCATGCAAATGAATTATGTCGCTCTTCTCCCAAAGCCTGTGGT